TAACAAATTGATATCTTATTGTAATCAAATAAAAACTTCCGAGAAACGACAACAAAGACATTGCACTAGTCACATAAAAAAGACTGACGGCCGAACTTCAACTGCATCATTGTACGTGCATAAAAAATAATTTAGGTCCCTAAGATCAGTTAGAGAAATCTTATTAAATATTGTTTTGCCAGCAAAATCTAAATTTGTTATTGTCTGGCTTAAATCAAAAAGATCTGATAATCCTGTAGAACTGAAAAATCTACGGATTAAATCGGTAATAACAGTAAATGATATATTTGATAACCACCAAATCGATATTAAAATCATCAAAATAATTGAGAAAGGTTTTTCAAACTATGAAGAAAGGCGAGTAGCTGCGGCGTTTCATCTAATGCTACGTCCCTCTGCCTTCAATAGAAAGAGAAGCATGACTTGAACTGTTTATCCAAACAGCCACATTTGATTCTATTCATTTCTGACACAAAAATTGCAATTTTACTTATAACAAATTTCACACTTTTCACACCCATCGTGTACACAACTATAAAAAGTGATGTCTCACACAAATTCATCTTGACTGAAAAGACATGACGCTGACATAATCAGACTTATCTTTATTTTGACTGAACTGAATATTCTGCCTTGATCCTCTCTACTATTTAAACATTCCAGTTTCAATCCAGTTATTTGTTAAAAATTCAGATTTTACCTGTGTTATAATCTCTTTCTTACGGTTATGACCCAGCTATTCCTATTGCTTAGTATTCTCGGACACCGATTCACTCGACAAGTCCCCAAATCAGAACACGGTTGAACAGGAAAGAGATTATATTCCAAATAACAAGGTTAAATGAAAGTAAGATGCAAGCCAGAAGCACAATAGGGAAAACGTCAGTATATTTATAGTTTTCACATAAGAAGATTCCAGAGTATTCTCCAACTATCGACTAGTGCTGATTGGATAAGAATTAGCCAATCAGCGTGCACCAAAGCAATCATGCATTGAGCATGCTTTAAGCCAGTCTATGTCCCGCTAACAACCTGGTATATCAGCAATATATCATTATTTTATTTATACAATTGGTTCCTTTTACGAAACTGATGGGTTGTGTGTCACTTATAAACGATTTGAAGTGTTTGCTTGAGTTTCAGACCACTTAACAATAAATTCAAAAGGTAGAGCGATGAGGTAGTAATTGTCTAGAGTTCGACATTGATAAGTTGGGTTGCCTTATAACTATACAAGATTTTAAAAATTTCCATAAGTTTGGAGAATTGAATGTGGAAAAAAGCAGACGAATGAGAGGATGGCTTTAACATACATGAAATAACTTCTGGTTTAGCAAAGATTGCATAAAAAACTGGACACAATAAAATAATGATGGTAGCACTAACAGCAGTTGTCGTTGATATAAGTCAAAATCGTGGACTTACTAAGGTAATGGTAAATTGGTTATCGTTGTGGTGTGTGTTACCGATGTCGATAGAAAGTTAAGATTAAAGAAAAGAGAACGAGAACAGTAGGTGATTGCTGTCGAAATAAAAGAACAGTGAAGTCTGAGACGATTGATTGACATTTGCAAAGGGGACAGTTAAGTTTGAAACAGTTGGTTGACATTTTGCAAATTAAGGATTTAGTGTATGGTTCTCAGATTTTACTAAGATGTTCTGTAATTTTGTATTCAAATACTTTCGATTGTCCCCACTTGTGTTCCCGCTCACTACACTCTTTCTGGATACAAATCTTGTTTCAATTTTTCAATTACCACTGCATCGCTGAACCTAAGAGAAATTACATCTTTTTTATTGATAATTTTGAAGAATTTGGAAACGTCAGTGACACTCCAAGTAACAATTAAATTGAGAGCTATTGCACCTCTCTCAACCGCAAACTCGTTATCACATGTTCGGAAGTGCAAACATTATTTCATTGTCAGTAAATAAAATGGGATAACATATTAATGCCTGTGAAAGTCTGCGAATCTTTGCATAAAGTATCTGCTTTTAAGCAGACACAGGCAACATAATCGTATTCTGTTATAAGTCGAAGCAGATCATTGAAGTTCTAATTTGAGATATTCTAGTCGATAATCCTATTTTGCATCACAGTTGCAACAAGTTTCTTTATCTTGCACAGCGAGACTGCCCTTTATGAATTGTGTTACCTTTAAAATATGCTTTAGTTTTCATGTTCACTGATCATGGAACTTATCTCAACTTATAAAAGTTGCAAACGGACTCGATAATAACTCTAAATAGCAAATTCGTTCTTAATTTTTATCAACATTAGTAATATTTGAACATGAGAAATATTTGAATCCTTCATATTAGATATGGTTATAGGTCACTGACATTCTACGTGGCTTTCCTCGTTTATCTTTACAGTTATTTTTTACTTATTACTATAACGACATCAAATATGCCACAGTGCATCAGTTTTTTGATGATTAAGGGTACATCCTACTGACGAGTGCCAAGTAGAACGAAACCTAGGTCCAGGGTTTTCTGTTGACCACCTCCAACCACCATCTTACACCTCAATATAGTTCACGCGATGTTGCCTAGACCAATGGCCATATTACAACTTGATCGACAGAATTCGGTCTGCATTAAGAAGGATATGACATGCATGACGTAAGTTACAACCCGGTGATCAATCTGTTGTGAACTCCCATAACTTAAACTGGATTTTTTTTAGCTTTTTGTGTCAGTTCAATTAGCTAGACGGTATATATTAGTTTAGTCAAAGAGGTTAGGTTAGTAATTTTTCGAGATGCTGATTCCCTAAATACCAACTAAATGTTTATCAGAAGAGATATTATTAGGTAGCTAGATTTATTACTTATATACATAATATTCGACTAATGTAATACGATTAAGTTTTTAATTAATTGGCGATTAATATTATGTGGAAATTAAAGTCGCAGAATCAGTGAGTTCACACTTCTTGTCATTTCTTTAGTGTCATGCTATTATTCAACGATTCAAATCTGGAAACGGTTGGATACTAATGCCCCTAGTATAACATCATTTTATTTTGGAATTTTTGTATGTAAAAATATTTTTCTTGATTGTAAGATATCTTATTAATTCGATTGAGTACAGTTTGCCTCAGTTCGTAGTTTATTTGAAAATCTTTTCGGTTACATTGCAGCATATTTAAAATATCTTAGTTTTTTTGCTCCCATTTTGGATATCAATTCTTTGTAACATTTTAGACTTCATTTGGTGTATCGCTTACACAAATTGATAATTATAATTATTATTTCATTCATTCAAAACTTTTCTGGAGATTACTTTTCCATGTCACTTGCCACATACGTGGCCTTATTATTGTTAATATCAATACCTTGTTTCTTATGCGTCCAATATTGTTTTTCTACGGAGACACGTGGGAAATCTTGTCTATGGGCTTTTACAATGTTTCATACTGTTTCGAAGACTTAAGTCAATATGTTAATATTGATCAGGTGAAAATTTGTAAAAACAAATTTTATTCTTTAGTTGTGAGTAATTTATATTCAAAATGCTTAGTGTTTTAAAAAATTTCTTAGGTTCCTGTTAATAGCTTGTGATGGTCTGTGGAAAAGTTTCCCTCCGAATGAAGCTGTTCATCTCACTCATGAACTTTTGATGCAAGAGATTAAAAAATATGAAAATGAACACAGAGAATCACAAAATGGTCAAGTAAGTCAATTCGCTTTTGATTTATGATTACCATCACATGTATCTTGCTTAATTACGGCATTAAGTGCTAGTGTTTTTGTCTCCAAAAATGTCTATCACTTCTTGTAAACGTTTATTAAGGTGAAACACCAACAGACGTTTTGTTAGTTTGTTTTCTTTTAAGCACAATGGTTTATATTTTTCAGTGTTTCAAATTTCAGCTAGTCACTCATAAAACTCACGAATACTCCCATCATATCTAATCACAATGTTTCTTGTTTATTTCAAGGTGAAATGTTATTTCGTGGTGTAAAGGTATTAAACATAATAAGGTCTGAGGGTGGGACTTACAAGCGTTCAAAAAGGTTACATTGCTCAGGTGCGCTTAGAAATGTTATTTGTGACTGATACAATAAAAATGACTTTTCTATATTTCGTACACTTCAGTAAAGATGACAGTCATTTAAAAAAAGTTTGCCTCAACTGGATTTAATGTAACCTATTTATCAAGTGTGAGTTTGTGGACTCACCTTTGCGTCATGCTTTACTGAGGGTTAGTGATACTACCTTGTCCCTCAAACTGAAGTAGATGAAGCAGAGTTTGAACCTAGGGGGTTGCTATTGAGAGTCTATTGTCTTAGTGTATAAGTTATTATTTTCGTGACACTGCTGAGCTACATACAAATTGTTTTATTTATTTACAAATACTGTTGTAATTGTTTCAGGATGCTTCATTGTAATCTTTTTTTCTCCAAAAATTGTAGTGTTCTGATTATTCTCAGATTTTGTGTCAACGGCACCTGGACTCAGTGTGCACGCATTTGGTTAGTGAAGCTGTTCTTCGTATGTCTGGTGATAATGTGACCTGCATTTTGTTGGTTTTTCCAACCATGTTTGTCAAAAAGCATCATTCTTCTGATCTCCCAGGACATCCGACTATCAGTCAGGAAGAAGATTCTTTAGAGCCGCGTTCCAAATTGCCACGGATTGAAAAGTGATGTGAACTAAGATCTCGGAATTTATTCTCAAAGTTGCATTGTCGTGATTCCACAAATGCTTTTCTTGCAGTACTTTATTACTATCGAAATTTATAATCTTTCTTTGTATGTGTTATGTTTATTGTTTTATGCAAATAAAGCTTTCATGAAGTATATCTTATACCTTATTCATTATGAAATTATTGATCCTTTCCATATCAGGTGCTCATTGTTGATTTTTTTGGGTATTGTAACTGGAGAATACTTTGGTAGCAACATATCTGAGTGAAGATGTCAAATATCCAGATTTCTATTTCAAGTAGTATTGTGTTGATTATTATTATTATTATCTTGTTTAGCTATCTTATGAAAAACCAACTGTGTATTTTTGACTCTTGGATTACTAAAAACTGGCCAGCATGTTTTTCATGGCGTTCCTCTGATGGACTGATTGACTTAAAAAAAATATTCGAAAATGTTCCAGGTAGATCATAATCAGTATGATATTTTCAGACGAGAAATTATGTGTTTCTGATTGTTCTGTAATCGAATTCAACACACATCCTGTTCGTGAAGTCACTGTTGAAGAATTTATTTCGTATTGGACTGACAAAGCTCAAGGAAAAGATGATCGCATTCTATATTTGAAAGATTGGCATTACTTTAAAAAGAGTTCAGAAAACAGTTGGTTCACGTACCTGAATATTTTTCTTCTGATTGGTTAAATGAATTTTGGAGCCTACGAAATGATCTCTTTGATGACTTCAAATTTTTATATTTAGGGAGTCATGGAACGTGGACACCTTTACACGTTGATGTGTACCGTTCTTTCAGTTGGTCTGCCAATATACTTGGCCGCAAGCGTTGGTGGATTTTTCCTCCTGGTTGGTCTCTTAAAATAAACTTTTCGTCTAGTTAAAAGCGTCATTGTTTATGCACCAAACTAAAGTCCCTGAGAAAAATCTCATGCATTTTAAATCTTTAAATACGAATATATAGTTCAAATAATGGTTTCAAACTGGATATCAACATATATTATATACCGGCCATATTCTTGGTTCGGTTGAGATATTAGATGGTTAGTTGAATGGTACAGTACTGTGTAGTATTGCCAGAAAACTTTCAGACGGTTCTCTTCCAATTCTGCGTGTATACAGAGTAGATGTGAGCTTGATTACTTTCGATAACTAATATTTTTATTGCATTCTGTATAGGTCAGAAGGGTTTCGACAACGTTTACTTTGAAGTCATGCGTTCTCAAATTTACGGAAAGAGGTTAAATAAATATCTAATACTAGTATAGGGGTTGTGGAGATTATTAAGTTTTTGATTGAGATCATGAACCGATTGATGTTAGACCACCACCTTTGGAAACCTGGAAGCACTGGACGGCCGTTTCGTCCTATCGTGGGACTCCTCAGCAGTGCGCATCCACGATCCCGCTCGCGGGATTGGAACCCAGGGTCTTCGGTCTCGCGCGCGAACGCTTAACCAACTGGACCACTGAGCCGGCATCCAATGGTGATAGTGTCTAACATCAACCAGTCCACGAAATTGCGCGACCAACTCCCATTGTACTGAGGTAGATACCTGTCTCTACCCAACATAAATTAGCTCCACTGATCACGGCTTCTCACTAGAACTTCGAGAATTCCCTCACTAAGCTAGTCACTAGTGAGCACATGTTGATTACTAGTATAGGGGTTGTGGAGATTATTAAGTTTTTGATTGAGATCATGCGCTCACTAGTGACTAGCTTCATGAGGGAATTCTCGAAGTTCTAGTGAGAAGCCGTGATCAGTGGAGCTAATTTATGTTGGGTAGAGACAGGTATCTACCTCAGTACAATGGGAGTTGGTCGCGCAATTTCGTGGACTGGTTGATGTTAGACACTATCACCATTGGATGCCGGCTCAGTGGTCCAGTTGGTTAAGCGTTCGCGCGCGAGACCGAAGACCCTGGGTTCCAATCCCGCGAGCGGGATCGTGGATGCGCACTGCTGAGGAGTCCCACGATAGGACGAACGGCCGTCCAGTGCTTCCAGGTTTCCAAAGGTGGTGGTCTAACATCAATCGGTTCATGATCTCAATGAAAAAATATCTAATAGTTTCTCGTTTGAATTATTTAGATCAAACTCGTTTGATATGTAGAAATCCTTGAGGATATAAATCGTAGTTAAAAGGGAATCGGTGTTTGTAGACACGTAGCAATGTGTTTTGATGCCGATTCTCATCTTACGGTTTTTGCATTTTGTTTTTATCTACTACTGTTAACTTATATTTCGAATTTTGTGATAATGATTAGATTCAGTGCATAACTGTATATGGATTGTTTTTCTTCTGTTTAAGGTGAAGAAAGAAAGCTCCTATCATCCAACGGACAAATTCCTTTTGATATACGCTCTATTATAAAAGACAGGACAGATGTGAAGTATTATTTAGTCGACCAATATTCTGGACAAGTAGTTTTCGTACCTTCTGGATGGTATCATCAGGTTGTAAATATGGTAATAATAAATATTTTTTCTTGATAACCATTATATTAGGGCCATCTTGAAGGGTCTAGAATTCTTAATCCATACTTGCTAGTGAATGATCTCATCCATTATTTTCCTTGTAAATATATGCTTTCTGTGTAACGACTAAATTAATGAATAGAAATATTAATTTTCTGTTATATGTCCGGATATTTCTAAATGAACGCCCTATAAAGTCAATTGGAAGATAGGACAGTAGAACAACCTAATTTTTCAATCAATCGAAACCTTACGAATTGCGCAATTTTACGAGCATATTTAAGATGTTTTCGAACTCTATTTTCCACTTCATCAATGCAGAACGTTACTCCAGAATTAGTGTATATTCGGGTATAGTTTAAGACAAGAGAGATATTTGTTTCAGTTCGTAATATACTTTACTTACTTTGACTGTAGTGTTGTGTAGTGCGCTTTGTATTCTCAAACAGTAAGTTTAATCGAAGTTCCTGATGTTTATCATGAATAATTAATTTTAACAAAATCAAATCAAATAATTAGTTGTTTTTCTGAGCTATCTTCAAACACAACTCTACTTTTCGTTCATAATGAATACGTATGTTGCCATATCGAAGTACTTCCGTAGTTCTGTTTCATTTTTTTATATTTATTCTTTGTAATCATCTTTATGCAACAGCTGATAAAGTGTAGTTGACTTTTTTTATGCATATACAGACTGATTGTATATCTATAAACCATAATTGGTTCAATGCTACAAATGTAAGTCATGTTTGGGATCATTTACAAGATCAGTTGAAAGCTGTTGAAGTGTCAACTAAAGACGTGTCTTCTATTCCTGGATGGCATGAAGAGTGTCAGGTAACTATCTTTGATAACTTAATACTTAACAAAATGTCTACTTTTGTTATACACCGCCTGCTTTGTCATCTTGACTCGGAGTTACTTCATCTTTCCAGACGCAAGCCTACCAACCACGTATAGGGCCATAGGTCACACTTATTTATATGACCTGACATTGTTATTTGTATGTCCAGCTGCTTTAGTAAAAGGGTTAAAGTTAAACAACTAAAGCTAGATGAATCAATAATTACGAAATATAAAAGTCTGCAAGGAAAATTAGCACATAATCAAGTGATACATTTTTTTATATGAAAAGAAGCCTATTTGTTTATAGTTGTTGTTAGAAGATAATTCCATTTCTGATGAATATATGCATATCCAACAGGTTTGTGGAAATTGTAGCTATTATCTTCATAAATTGATTACTTTGACAATACTATGGCTTATAACATCAGAATAGTAAACGTCTTTTTGATAGCATATAAGTTAAAAAACTTAGCTGCCTGATGCCTTCAGTAAAACAAACCGATAGATGAATGACACTAGTTAGAAATTTTAACATGATATAGGATTAAACAAGACATGCACTTTTACTGACGAAAACTACATTTCTTGTATTAAAGAATGTAATATTTACAGTAACCAAACAGTATGATAAAGTTAGTCATCAAGAAAAGATTTTCTTTTTATGTCGTCTTATAAGGAGCACTATTTCATTGGAGGGATTCCTCTCAGATACTATTATTCCAACTTCCTAGTTAGTCATAAACGATGGAGTTTTATCAGGAGTTGGAACTTAGTCATGATTCTGATCGATCGGTTGAAATGTCAAATTTTCAAGAATATCATCTTATAACCATTTTCTTTTCACTGATGAATTGGAGCAGTTTCTATTAGTTTGATCTCTTAAAGATATTTAAGTAATACTATGGCAATACTCGTTGGTTTTAGCTGACTCTAAAATTTGATGAAAACAGTTTTTTTGTTATCATTAAAAGGGTTTTCAATTTATGGTATTGCGTAAAGTTCTGATTACTCTCTGCTTCCTTTTTTTAAACAAAGACTTGTCTACGAGCATACGCAGGAATAAATTTCGAAGAGTTCTTTTCAATATTGAAGTATATTTTAATAACTCGTTGGCCAAGAAGTAGTTCTAATGATGACGATGGTGTTAGTTCATTTCTGAAAAAGTGCAAATCCATGCAGTATACATCATTGGACGTGCTCAATAATGTTATGGATTATGAACTAACTAGTTTGATTGAAACAAAGTTAGAAATATTTCAAACTGCTTTAAAAAATCCTCTCCTTTGGAGGAAGTATTATACAACAGGCGTTAAGACATCTACTTGGATACGTATGCATGATTTTTGTATGGTAATACAAGTTATCAAGGAATTTGTTCATCATGAAACTGTTAATACTCTACATCTTTGTAATGGTGTTTTACAATCATTTTGGAGTAGTCTTTAATTATATGTATATATAAAAAGGCGGATTTCAACATTTGCCAATATTTTCAGATTTCATTTATCATGTAATTATCGCGTATTGTTCATTTAATACTTTTTGTTGCTTTGATCACTGTAATATTTTCAACAGCTTATGTGGATTTACTTATTGTGAAATAAATTAAATTCCTTCTATCTGATGAACGAATGCGCGTTGTTCTTCATTATCCAACATAATATTGGCTAATTTATTGCTTGTTTTCGGTCTTACATACTGAGGGAAATCGCCTATAAGTGTGATTATTATTTGTCTAGTATCCAGGATTTCCACAAACCTAAGAGTGCAGTCCTGGCGATTTCCTGTGTAGATATATCCATACACGTAGATTGGCACATGCAATTTTATCATAAACAAGGTTATTTTGAGGGCCACCACATGTGTGTAAGGGGTTTTAAACATTTCCGAGCTGCCTACAGTAATGGGAAACTTCAGGTAATTAAAAAGGGAACCGGGTTGGTGATGGTTTTGACGATTTAATATGGAATATGGCGTAATTATTTTTACGATGCTTGACCCAATATGGAATAGCAGGTTTTATTTTCTCAATAACGAGCAACTTGCCAACGTAATATCTTGGACGGTTTTTCGGCCTCATTCACAATCTCGATTAGTTAACTCTTTGTGTAACGGTGTGATGTGCACCCTTTTTTCGGGCGAATAAAGAAGGGCTTTAAATGTTACCTTACTTGTACTTCAGTAGATGCACATCTCTAGTGTTATCCCCGTAACATACATTTTATAATTTTGGATAGACATCTCACTAAGTCATTTTAATATATCAAAGAACAAAAGTTACGAGGAGTTGGGTATCGTTTTGTGCAAGTAGGTTTCCTGTAAATTGGTCTTTTTATTATGACTTTTACCCTTGTCAATTATCACGTGACAAAATCGCCAGTCAGAATACTGACTTGTATGACCTTGTTACCGTGCTAAACGAATAGCGAGATGTCAAATGGTATAGACGTTTTCAATGGACGTACCAAGTAGTTTAAGTGATATTTGTGTGAATTTTTCCTGCTTGCCGTATCTATGTCTCAAGAACATAAAGCGAAACAAGGTTATTCTGCTCACCTGACAGTCATTAATTGATTTATTCCAAAATGGCTAAACACTAATTAGAACAATCTACGGATTTCTGCAGCGTTATAGAGCATAGGTTCATTTATAGATGGGTTAATGTACCTGGTCCATTCCCCTTGTAGTCTTTGCAAAATTTATTGCATCAAACCTTAAATGTCGTTTCGGGCTTCTGAGTTCCGAAATATTAGGTTATTTCGAGATTTTCCTTAGTCCTGTTTAGATAAATGTGCGTTTCTTCTGATTCCATATTTCTTGTTTGCAAACAACTTGTAATAATTTTTTAGCGGTTGCTAATTACAGCCAAAATGTTAGGACCGAATAATTTTTGTTGTGTGTGTTGCGAAACGACAAAGAATATATTCTGAACAATTAATATCGACTAATATCTCGTTCATTCACTATAGAGGGATTACTTTAACCAACATGGTATCTAAAATACTAGCCTCAATAATTATCAGGCGCTTAACAAAGACTCGTGAACTGCAAACTTTCCGGCTGCAAAACATGGCGATTAAGGGTAGAGGATGGTCGTAAGCTATTAGTATCTGGTCACAGATGCCTTAGAAATATTGCTCGCATCTGCTGAGATCACTGGATAAGTAATAGTGAGATTAGATGTAGGGTATTAGGGAATGATGGTAAATCAATTTATGAGGTTGTGAATCTTCATCAACTAAGGTGGTTGGTCCACGTGTTACGTATGCCTGAACACCACTTACTACGACCCGCAATGCTAACCGGCGTCGGTTATGGTTGGAAGAAAGTTAGGGGCGGCCAAACCAAAACGTGGCATCAGTACTTGAAGTCACTAACTTCTGGTTTGAGCCATGTTGGTAGATGTAGACTACTTGGTTGGGGTCCAAGTGACTAACGTAGCCAATAGCTGGAGACTCTTGGTGACATGGCTCAGGATCGATCACGATGGCGTCGGTGTATAGACTGTCATCCCCTTAACCATGATTCAGGACTACTTTATACCTTTCTACGAACTAATTCTTTCTTCCTCTAATATATCCTTATATGCAATTTTTCTTTTATTATTATTATTACCGCCATTGGATTAACTACTTCTGTGAATCCAGTGTTCATCTTGCTGTACTAATGCGGTATGGCAACTTGAACCGATTGATATATGTGCCTGGTTCTACGTTGTAGCTAACTGACTAATTGACTTATTCGCTGATCTGTTTATGTGGAATTATTGCACTATTGTTTTATTTGGAGAAAACCCAATGTTTTTTTGACAAAATAGTTTTCGGCAACCGTCCTAGTTAATAGACTTGTGAACAAATGCCATATTACAGCCGAAGAATATTATCAATCGTTTTAGCTTTTGTCAAGTTGCAGAAGATTACAATTGGTCATTAAAATGAATAATTAAGAACGCTTCTCCTAACTTCTGTATGTCTATCTGTACATTCAAGAACACGGTAAGTGATGTTATTTTGTTGGTGGAACTTACGAAATAACTACAAATAAATAAAAGTGTTAAGGGCAGAAATTTAGAGAAGTCATTATTGGTCTGTCGATTGTGGGAGAGGATTCACTGTACGCAGTTGTGTTCACGGGGAACTTGAAACTTGCTCTCGGATTTCATATACTCTTTCTGCCGCGTACGGTGTAATGCTAAATGAATCGGCGTATGATAATTTCTCAAACTGTCTTAATAAATGGTTGCGCCAACAATTTTTTTCTTGTAGATTCTTTATTTGTCTTGTGATCTGGAAATATGACTCCTAGTGTTGCCGTTAAACACGGTGTTTAACTTTTTAAACCACTGTTCCTGCGTTTGAGGCTGATTCACTTAGTAACTCCAAGTTTTCTAATCCTCTTTGCCATTATTAAAAATTTACGAGCAGTCTATGTTTTTAAGCGAAACGCGAAATTTTGAGTTTGATCGGAGTGTAAGTTGCCGACTTAAAATTAAAAATTAACATCGTTTCAAAATTCAAAAGTTAACTGGGTTTATGATGTATTCAACACCATAATTCATGATAGTCCTTCATGTAAATTGACGATAATACTTGATCATTTGATTCGTGGAAAACCATCTACAAGTCCTCTTTCACGATATGGATTTCAAGAATAATTACTGTAACAATAAGTTGCTTAAAACAAGTTATTGTGTAGTGAACGAGAACACAAGTGGGGGACAATCAAGTGTATTTGTACACAAAATTACAGAACACCTTACTAAAATCTGAGAACCATACAGTAAATAAATTATATGCAAAATATCGATCAATTGTCTTAAACTTGAGTGTTTCTTTTCGAATGTCAATCATTCATCCCATATTTCACTGTTTCTTCATTTTCATACCAAACACTTTCTGTTCCCGTTCTTTCCTTCTCAATCTTCTGCTGCGTTATTCTATTCCTGATTCGCATTATATACTACTTATGTCGATATAAGTAGCACACACACACACATCACAACTGTCCTATTAAATATACTTTATGTAACTCAGAGATATTGAATTTTTCATAATTCAGCTTTTTCAATTAAAACTAATCATCAATGAATGTTTACAGATTATTGCTTATCAGTTGTCAGCTATTATCATTCCATTAATTTGTTTGCCAGAATCATACTACTAACAGAATTTAGGTAGTATAAAAGTAAAGTTATAATGATTAAGTTCTGATTTATTTATTACATTAAAACACTCATTAGTTTCTTGTTAATTTTCTGTTTCTATTATATTACTTTGATAAAGAAAATAATCATACTATAAATGAATAATTGAAATGAAACATTTATGTTATATGTAATTTATGTAAATTATTATTATATATTCGGGCGTTTTATTTTTATTTTAATTTTTCATACTGTTAAGGTAGATTCATTTATGTTAGTCTGTAAAATATACAAACTAATATTTATCAATGTAATTTCCCATTTTTGTTTTCTTTTGTTTTTTTTAAAAAAAAAAGAAAAGAATCTTTAAAGTTTGTGTATTAAATTATTTTACAGAATAGATTGAATAGAATTCTATCTTTGATGTATTTCTTATAGCTAATAAATATTCAGCTTTATTTTCTTTTCAGAAAAAATTCTCTTTTAATAATTGAAAATAAAATAGATGTTGTTTACAGGTGATCATGATCATTATTGAAATAATAATAATAATAATGGTAATAACCTTTTAAAATCATTTATTGATTTATGACAGAAATTATGTGATTACTTCCTAATTGTTGAACTACTACTATCATCTTCGTAATGGATATTAGAAGTTTCATAGATTTTGATTATTCCTTCATTTTTATCAATATTATGTTTGTCTCTTGGTAGTTTGCTGTTACGATGTTTGCTACTGCTACTATTATTAGTAGTAGTGATATTAGTCGGAGTTGGGGATACAGTAGGTATAATACGTGAGGTATTTGATATGTTTATATTTTTCATTGCTTTATTTGTACTAGCTATAAGGTATTGATCATGGGATCGTGATGATGACGATGGTATTATTGCTGTTGATAGGGCCTCGTTTGGAACAGATGATCGCGGGGGTGATGATGATGATGATAATTTGAATGTTGAACAAGATAATTTCTCTTCGATATTGTCTGGATATTTTGAATGTGATAGTTTTATTTCTTCAGTATTATTATCATTCTGTCTAGAATTTCTTTTAAAGTTATAATTTGTTTGTGTAAATCTTGAAAATGTTTTTTCAGAATGTTTATTACAAATTTTATTCTGAAAAATATCTAATTTATTTTCATTTGTCAATGAATTGTATGACGTTGATAAAATCTGATTACTAATATCATTATTATTAGTAGTTTCTAATTCATTTAATAATTTTTCATTATTCACTATTAAATATTTATTTTTAATTAATGAAACGAGTTCTTCTTTTAATCCAATTTTGATTTTATTTTTAAATTGATACCAATCATCTATATATAATCCTTTAACTGTATTAATTTTATTATGTTTATTAGGTAACCATGAATAATCAAATAATATTTCATTCATTTTTGTTAAATAATTAATATCTTTATCATAATTTAATGAATATTTCTTTTTAGAATCTTTTATTTTAGAATTCATTGAATCTAATATCTGATCAGTAGTATTACTCGTTGAACTATAATGTTGTAATGAATGCTTTTTTTGTATATTGACTGATAATGGTAATTCAATTTCAGATTTCGGTAGTGTTTGTTGAATAGAAGTAATTGCATTTTGATAAGATGATATTGTACAATTTGTAGTGATAGGAATAGTGGTATTAGTAGTAGTAGTAGTAGTAGAAGAAGAAGAAGAAGAAGCAGTAGCAACATTATACGGTAAGAGAATATTTTGTAATATTGAATTTTGTTTACTTAATTCACCAACAAGTTCTTGTTTTAAACTTTCTAATTGACAAACAGCACGTACAACTTCCCGTTTTCTATCTTCACGTATTTCAAATCTATAAATGTATTAAAAATTTTTTGTTTAAAATGCTCTTTTTTTTCTTCTTTTTTTGTTGTTGAATAAATTAGATCAGAATTTTAATGGAAATTCAAGGAATAGAAATTCTTTAAATATTTATGAATATTTAATTAAATTCTTTGCATATATATATATATTGACTATGTAAAATTCTAAAGTAGATTTCATGTTGTTTTAATGTAATATTACAATCTTTAGAAAGATTCAAATTCGTGTTTAAGATTTAAACTTTCATTGTTCAAAGTTATATGTAACACTTTTCTCTAGATTTCTTCATTCTACGAATGAATTTTTATTCAAAATAGATTAGGGATATTTAAAAAATGATCAAATAATTTTTATTGGATCATATTATTAGCTACGATTAATGTGTTTCAATCTCTTTACCAACTCAACTCTTCCTGGAGCCCCTCTGTGGCTGCTGCCGGTCCTAAACCCGGATAAGGGTGGAGGGTTGAGTATGGGGTTAGAGACCCCATCCCGTAGAAAACTAACTCGCTAAAAAAATTATTCAATCCTTTACCAACTCACTTTTCAGGAGTTCATATACAGTGATGTATGACACAGAATCATCTCGACTAGAAATGAAATGACATTGACATAGACAGATCTACTTTAATTTTAATTAGACTAAATATTATGTCTCGTTTCTCTATATTATTTAAACATGTGTTTATTTTATTTCGGTTATTTATTTATTCTGAAGTAGTGACTTATGCTGAGTCAAGAAATATTGGAAATTCGTATTGATACTCATTGGGACATCACAAATCCACCACTGTATTTTCAATATTCAATTTCTTTGGAATTATGAAGTCTAATATTGATAATGATACTAAGATATTGTGTACTACGTGAATGAACAAGCTGATATATATGCAGTATACTGAATCAAAGTTGTTTTCTTCTGCAAGAAAACTTAGTTCATAAAGAATCAATGCTATCAGATCGTCTAAAATTTAGCGGTCAAATTAACCATTGTATTATTTTAAATTTCAATCCTTACAAATTGAATTTTGGTGTACATGAGAAGTTCTAGATTCATTCTGTAATTCATTTAGTGTACTTCTTTATTTCATAGTGTGTAGTGCTCACAAATAAGTTATTAATACCGTTATGGTAATTAACCATTTTTTTGTTACCTTAAACTTGATATATCCTGTTTAATTTCCAATAGATCATCTTCATTCACTCCATCTTGTCTCATTGTTTTCTTTGATTGATGTATATATCTTCTTACAAGTCGACGCATAACTGTCTGTAAACAAAAACAAGGATTGATATGTATAAGTGACTTGAAATGTTGTTTAACAGTGAACGGGGTGTACTCAATTATTCTACTAGTCAAAACTTGAAGATTTAAATCCTGTGGATATATGTATGATAAAAATTAGCCACTTGCGGAATACATCTTGTAGTTCACTTTTTTACAACTCGAGTGCAGCACAAATTTAGATTTTAAATCCGTTTCAGATTGTACATCATGAACGTAGTTCACTAGTTATTCCTATATTTTAATAGATATAAGTGTTTAATCATTTATCTTATATACATTATCTTTGGTTTATGTCCCAATCTGCTGAAATTATAACTGCTTGGCTTTTTAAAATTTTCATAGTTATCATATGAGTTACTTCGTCTAACATATAGGTTTTTATAATCTAACAGAATGACTCAATCTTAAAATCTAATCGTTGGTTTGGTCTAAAGTTTCGTAATGTTCTAGTGTAATTGTTTGAATATAGACGTTTTGTTTGAATGTTTGTCGGACACTTTCAATGCTTTTAGTTCCAGGAAGCATGAATGTCGTTTTAAATTTCTACAGTATTCCATTCAGAATCTAATACTTTATTTAAATTAATTTGAATAATAATTATTATTGTTTCATACTTTTATTGTCTATTTTGGTTTGAACTACTCGTAATGTATTGAGTAGCATAAATCGAAAGAACATTTGGTAGTATCAAGGGTAATTAGAATAGTCTTTAGTAAAGGAGACATTACATTCAAGTAAAATTAATTTTAATTAAACCACAATCCGTTACTTTTAGTTTAAATGAATATTAAATGGGATTAATTGGCCTTTTATTTATTTTTTTTCCACTGAAATGATATTTATTTTTCGATGGCCTAAAACATTTAGTGGGCAGTACCTGATTTCAGATATTTGACGATTGTTTTAACTTATTTTAAGGACGATATTGCTCACAGACCTGAACCTACATTACCGAATGCTGTAGTCAGATTCGTTGTTACTGAAATTTTCAGACTTCTATTGAAGTCCTTTATAGAATTGAGCTCACCTTAATCATCAGTCGCTAACTATTGGCTAAAGTTAAGTTGTCTACTCTTTACTGCTAGCCGAACTCTACCAATCAGGCCTCCGTTAGATTCAAAGCCGTATAGTCGGTGAAATGGTATGAAAATAATTCGCATGTATGATCGATTTATATCTTTATCAAAAAGTGAACCAATCGCATGATTATGGTAGCCCTTTGTTGCTTAATGAAATCTGTATAAATAATACTGTTTTTTAAAATGATTTGTAGTTTGGTCCAAAAGCTCACTAGTATCAGGTGATTCGAATTTATTTCATAAAAAACTGTGTTGTGGCATTACATTGATGGATTAATCTGCTTTCTTTTTTTCATTTCATTCTAACCAGACAAATGGTTATCATAAATAAGAAAACCAGGTCTTTCCTTTTGTATTAGTTGTAATCTTACTTTCAACATTTCATTAGATAGTCATGATATGCGGTTGAAACCTTAGTTTGAATATTTTAAGAAGTGGATAGTTTGGTTAAAAACATATGTGTTTATTTGGGATTCCAGTTATAACTGACACCATATGGACAGTATGACTGACTTTCGACTTCAAATTTCTTTCACTGTAAACAAAATTTTATAGTATGATACTATTTAAACAAATCTGTTATTATTTAGCTTCAATACATTAAACTCCTTTTTAAGTATTATTGATATTTGAATAAATGTTTGTATCTCACATATGTGATTAGTCAGTGTATTTTTCTTGTTTATGAAAAGTATTATGATGTTGTATTCTTTTTATACAAGATGATATGAATAAAATAGACCATTTTTTAAAGGATGAAATAGAGTTTTAGTAAATGTTCATCTGAACTTTTGATTGTCTTGAAAACAGGAAACAGGAAACAACAACCAGGTTTCATATTAGCATACATAATTGTTGTTGTTGTATTTTACATTAGATCTCTTTAACATCATTTATACAATTATTAAATAGTATAGCATAGTATATTAAATATCAGAAGAAATCCCATTAATCATTTATTAACTGATTTTATTCAGGTAATCATATGTTGTTATTTAATTTCAATTATATAATAAACGTTATCATCTTTAAAAATTTACTAGATTCTTTAAATAATTTAGAATTAATGATGATGATTGAACTTTATTAAGTCGTTATTTTAATATTTTTAGTTCAGTGCTTTCAGATTTTCCATGGTAGTTTAGCTTCAATTGATTCATGATCTCAACTATTAAAATTACTATAATATCCACAGAACCCCTTCTGATATTAGTCAATATATGCTCACTAGTAACGGTCTCTAAGAGGTATTTCCTGGAGTTCTAGTGAGAAGTATTGACCAGTGGAGTTCAACCAGGTCTTCTGTAAGATAGTAACTCACTGAAGACAATGGTGAATGTGTCGATTAGTTTCGTGAATTAGTTAAAGTTAGACATTACCATCGTTGGATACCGGCCAGCTCAGTGGTCTAATGATGAAGAGCTCGCGCGCGAGACATATAGGTTCTGAGTTCAAATCTCGTGAGGCGGAATCGTGGATACGCACTGCTGAGAAGTCTCACAATAGAAAGAAACGGCCGTCCAATGCTTTCAAGTTTTCCATGGTGATCTAGCTTCAATCGACTTATGATCTCAACTAATAAAATAGCATTATAGTTGAGAATCTTGTAACCTATGGAAGAAACCTTTGAAATGCTTTTTGTCTCATACTTACTTCAAAGTATAAATTTAATTCAATGAAAGAATAAGAAGTTAAGGATTAAATTTTCTTTAGACTTGATTTTTAATAGATTGCTCGTTTGTTTTGTGTTTTTTTGAATAATAAAATGTTTTAGGCAATTCAAAATGATTTTAATAAGAATCCATGTAATAGCAAAAAAAAGTTGTATGGAAACAACAATAATAAAAACGTGGTTTACAGCTTAAAATAATTTATTTCATAGCTATTTAGTATTTCACTCGTATGTTTAAATATCACCATTTATCTCCTATATATATATCTATAACTCCGCTTGGAGTCCCTCCGGGGGCTACTGCCGGTCCCAAGCCCGGGTAAAGGAGGAGGGTTGTGCATGGGGTTAGCGACCCCAGCCCGTAGAAAACTAACTCAAATAATAACTTAAAAATGTTGTATTTGTTAATATTTATCTCATTTTATTATTAATTAATCACTAGGAATGAATTAGTTCTTTTTTTCGTTTTTAAAAGAACTACCAAATTGTTTTCCAAGAAATACATTTGCTTGATTTTGATAATTGTTATTCAACTGTCAGTAATTTATTGTTATGGCAACTTTTTAAATAGTTACTTTATTACTTATCAGTAATAATTAACTGCTTTAAATGAAAAGTGTCATTTACTTATTTTCTAGAAGTCATGTTTACTACTTTTATCATTAACAGTTATATTAATCTTAAATTATAATCGATCATATTATTATTATTATCACTATTATTATTAATAGTAGTCATGAAATAAAAATGTAATTGGTTTGTAGGGAATCCATTCAGTATAATCTATCGATTGTAAAAAAGCAATTAATATTCTTACGTATTGATCGATCACATTACGAGTTTTACTAAATAATTTCTGAATGGGTTTTGTGGAGATTTTTTATACATTTCACTGGTTGAAATCATGAGTCAATTGAAGCTAGACCTGCTCACCAGTGACTGACTTCAGGAGACACTCCTTGAGTTCTAGTGAGAAGTCGTTACTAGTGGAGTTCAACCAGGTCTGTTGTGAGACAGGAACTCACTGAAGACAATGGTGTACGGTGGCGCGATTTCGTGAATTGGTTGAAGTCAGACATTAACATCGTTGGATACCGGCCAGCTCAGTGGTCTAATGGTTAAGTGCTCGCGCGCGGAACCAGTAGGTCTTGGGCTCGAGTCCCGCGGAGTGCGGGATCGTGGGTGCGCAGTGCTGAGGAGTCCCGTACCAGGACGAATCGGCCGTTCAGTGCTCCCAGGTTTTCCATAGTGGTCTAGCTTCAATTGACTCATGATTTCATCCAGTGAAATTTCTAAATAATTTCTATTAGTGAGTATGAGAATATTTATCAAAAGAATATTCAATAAATTTGTGCATATATAATTACATGTAAACATAATTAGAAAAGAGACAGTATGATAAATCATACTAATCTATTAGTCTTTCTTTTTTTCACCCCATTTTTTTATATTTAATTGACTCTTTTTACTTTAAAATATGTATCCAGTATATTACTGATCATTATTTAAGTAGGTGGTAACAAAAATCTATTCCTAAATAAACTATACATAATATATATTAGTATAGTAACGCCCAAAAATGCCAGTTTTATGCATGCATATATATATATATATATATATATATATATATATATATATATATATATATATATGGGCAATTGTGAAATACAGTAGTTTGATGGAAAGAAAGATTTCACTAAAAAATGTATAAAGTATTTTAATGAAGTCGATAATGATAATGGAGAAAATGAAACAAAAGTGAATAACTAATTGATATTAGAATATAGTTCGTAGTTTTCAAGGTTTCAGGGATACAATGTTCTTACCTTTTAAACAATAATGTATGTAATATTATGTGTAATTGTCGACAATATCAATCAATTCATGTGATGAATATTGTTCAACAATCATTCAATTTATCAGTACAGAAGAACATTTTTAGGTATGTGATAAAAATACATTGTAGAGGATGTAGAAAATACTATCGCAATGTAATCTTAATGTTTGATAGTCTCTAAATGAGAGAGCTAATTTATTCTGGGGTATTCTGTCAAAAAAACAGTGTATTGAACTGCATCTCATCTTAAAATTGTTTGATCGAAATCAGGTCACGAAGATTCGATAGGTTTATCTGTTTAATCCAAAATGGGTAAAAGTTAACTTGAAAAAGCAGATGTAATTACTATAGCCAACCAGAGAAGATAGTCAAAATAATACGGAATTCATACAAAGGACTACAGTGCAAATTCTTGCATGGAGGAAAGCTGACGGATGCATTTCAAGTAAGGACCGGAGTCAGACAAGGCTGTTTACTGTCCCCCTTTCTCTTACTTCTGCTGGTCGATTGGATTATGAAAACCTCTACACCTCATGTAAAGCGTAGAATACCATGGACAGCTTACATGCATTTAGACAATTTACACGTTTCTATGCCATACACACTAACGAATGCAGGTAAATACAAGTAATGTAGCAGCAGGCTTTGACATACACAAGCGAAAAACAAGCATCCTCAACACGGAGAACATCAACCCAATCACACTTGATGAAGACGTTCTGGAAGAGGTAGAATCTTTCACAGCATCATCGATGAACATAGAGGATTTGATGAAAATGTGGATGCAAGGACTGTCAAATCAGAAGCTACATTTCTACAGTTGAAGTATATATGGAACTCAAAACAACTGTCTTCAAGCCATCATCAAACTCACAATCTTCAATACGAACGTCAAGGCAATTCTACTGTATGACGCTGGAACTTGGAGAACTACCACAACCGTCATCAACAAAGTACAAGTATTTATCAATAATTATCTACGCAAGATACTAAATGTTCACTGGATGAATACCATCAGCCACAGCCCATTGTAGGATAGAACAAACGAACTTCCATCTCAAGAGGAAATTAGGAAAGGCGCTCGAGAATGATAGGACGTACATTACACAAACCATCAAACTGTATCAGGAACTGAGCGATGACTTGTATATATATATATATATATATATATATATATATATATATATATATATATATATATATATATATATATATATATATATATATATATATATATATATATATGGAATCCTATTTACGATTACGAAATTATCTGTATATGATAATCATGATGATAATAATAATAATGATAAGGCTGATGTGACACGGTTGAGTACACGTTTGTAGATTAACTAATGTACTAGTTGTAGAATAATCGGTTAAATTTGAATATATTTCCTATCGAAAATGATGCAAAATTACTTTTCGGAAATAAGAAATAATGAAATTTTCTAGTTGAATTGATGAGTCAATTGAAGCTAAATCACCATGGAAAACCTTGAAGCATTGGATGGTCATTGCTTCCTAGTATGGAACTTCTCAGCAGTGCTTATCTACGATCCCGCATTGTGAGATTCGACCACAGGCCCTATCGGTTTTGTGCGGGAGCGCTTAATTTCTAGACCACTGAGTTGGCATCTAAAGCTGTTAATGTCTAAATTCAACCAATCGATTTACAAATTATTATTCACGGTGAATCTATAAAATTACTAAAACCTCCAACAAAATAATGGCATATCAAGGGTTTGACGATATATGATTTTGAAAAAGAGATAAAAAAATTTCACCAGTAGTAGTAGTAGTAGCATCTTTTCTAGATAGCAGTAGTAGTGGATCATGTGAATTTTATTTTATTTATCTTTTTTAATTTCAAAAACAAAAGATTTTAAGGGTTAAATCAAAATACAAGATCACCTAGTAAATGTAGTAGGACATTTATTTATTTTAAATAACGCTACAATTACATGATTAACCAGTCCTATGTATTGTTTAGTTGTTTCTTCGGTTTACAGGATTCTAAATCGATCTGCTTATGATAGTTTATTCAATGCTTATTTGCTGGTGTTGAAGAATCATTGACTAATTAAGTTGTGTATTTTTTTCGGGATAATACAGAACAATTTTGTTGTATTTGTTAGTTTACTACCCGTTCATTTTTTTGATTGAGATCATTAAATGACTGATGTTAGAGAATCATTGAAAACCTGGAAGCACTGAACGGCCTTTTCATCCTATTGTGGGACTCCTCAGCAGTGCGCACCCATGAGCCCAAACGTTGCATTCGAACCCAGAACCCTCAGTCTCGCGTGGGAACGCTCAGTCTACTGGACCACTGAGCTGGCCGGCATCCAACGATGTTAACGTCTAACCCCAACCAATCCACGAAATTGTGCGATCATCTTCCATTCTACTGAGGTAAATACCTGTCTCTACCTGACATGGATTAGCTCCACTGGTCACGGCTTTACTTGTCTTTAATTGCTAATCAGTATATTTTAAGAATCTTTTACATAATTGTAATTACAGATCAATGATTTAAAATTGTGTTATGAATAGAATATGTTCAATACTTTTAGTTGCTATAATAAGTTATTTAGATGATTATAATGTTCTCTATTATCTCAATCTAGTGAGGTCAATATATTATGAATTCTATGAAATCGATCACAGATGAAGGTTTGATCAGTGAACATGTTTAAAGGAAATGTTATTCGTTCTTCTCTTGAAGACAATATTTATCAGAAACTTTGAGTAAAGTTGAGAATACATAACGATTTGTAATGATTACCATTTTTTATAATAAGCTCAAATAATATTATGTAATTAATCTAATCGACGAAATCAAAATACAACGTTTGATCAGTTTGTCTATTTCAAATCATAGAAATTGTTTAAAGAAAATGATTTTGGATTTATTAGATCACATGATAAACACTGGATTATTTCCTCCGCTTAATGGAGTATGATAATTGTTAATTCTTTTAGTGAAATTCAAACAGTCATGGTAACATAATTCGGACACTATGCATGGGTCCAATCGAAGTGTTTCATACTTTAATGCTAGCAGTCACATTTTTATCAAACATTTTTAGTGCTTACCATGTTATAGCTCATTGATAAGGTTTCAACTTTTCTTAGCGTAGAACATGCTGATCAATCAGATAGATATCCATGTACATTTAAATTTAAAGATTTAGTTAAGAAATTAATTATAATATGAATAAAATAGTCTGTAAATTGTTATTTAGACACACAACACAGAATGTGTTGCTAAATATGTGACTTATAACTGGGAATGTTTAACGAATATTTATTTTAAATAGTTAAGATCATGGGTCAATTGAAGCCAGACCACCATGGAAAACCTGGAAGCACTGGATGGCCGTTTCGTCGTATTATTGACTTCGTCAACAATAGGACGAAACGACCTTCCAGGTTTTCCATGGTGGTCTAGTTTCAATTGACTCATGATCTGAACTATTGGAATAACTATAATATCCACAAAAACCCCTTCGAGTATTTATTTACCAAAACAACGATAGCTTTGGTGAATATATTTAATGATCTCTTAAAGCAAGTTTTTCAAAAAAGCAATTCACATTAATTTAATGATTTTTCTAACCTGATAAAAGGTTTTCCGTTTACTTTGTTTCGTTTCTTTTATAGACTGCTGAAATAGGAGAAAAAAAACATTAGTAAACATAATTCAATCAGTCAGATAAAATTTACTTGTCTTTGAAGATTTTCAATAAAACTAATCTTCTTAGAAAATCAAGTTAATACAAAGATTAGTTTATTTCCAATTTTAGAGATTTGTAGTGGCTGGTTCTAAGTCCAGACTGTATAGCTTATTTCAGCTTACAGACAAGCCAATTTATCTATCCTTCTCAAGCTACATTTTGACCTTGTTAATTATTCACTTATCAACTTTGCCTGTTTTTATATGAGTGTATATCTGTGTATATCCTATCTTACTTATCACATGTTTGTAGATTACTTTTGTGTGACTATAAATATCGATTAACTCTTGATTAGGTGGAGTTGGCTCCGTCATTTTGTTTTACTTCACTTTCTGATCAACGAATGTATGAAATATATTTATCCAATCATCCATTTTTCGTATTTGACTTATTTAATTCCGTTATTGACCTACGAGATTTAAGTCAATAATTTTATACGAGAATAGCCGACATGTGTATTTCATACAATCCAATTGGAGTCAGATAGGGGGCTACTAAAGACTGTCATTATGTAATATTTTGTTGCAATATCATATTATTTTAGAATACAATTATAGAATTGGTGAATACTAAATTCCTTTTATCTATCTACATTTAGTATTGTTTATGACAATGTGAATTTCATAATTGCGTCATATATAAGAGAAACGTAAACTTTTCTCATCTGTCGAACCATTTTTGTAGTATTTTGTAGATAAACAAAATTAATATTAATAAGAATTAGATGGATTTAAGATAGTAGACTGAAATACTGTATAATTCTCGATTATTACCATTTCTTAATTTAGAACAACATATATAAGCGAACAATATTGTTTTCGATTAGATCCTCATCAGGCTTTTTGTTTACTGATCAGTATGATTGTTTATATCTATCATTGATCTTATATAATTAAACAAATTGGCTTATAAAAATTATTGTTCAGTCTGATCACTTACTAGCACTACTTAATGAATGTTTTTTATAGATCAAAGTTTCCCCTAAAAAGTCATCTTTAATGTTGAATGAAATACTGTTATAAAGTTGATTTATCATTGAGTAATGATTTATCTTTTCTCTGAAGAGTAATTATTTCGTTAGTAATGTATTAAATTTCTCTCAGTTATACTACTAAGCCTAGAATTAATCGTGTCTATACACAAGTAAGCTATTGAAATTCTAGCTTTTAATTAACTCATGAACGCTTTTTCTGTTTGTAATTAAACAAATGATACACCATGACAAATATTAGTATGGAAGTTAAAATGTTGTTCTTGTTGACCTTATACGTGTAATTGTTACTTCTTTGGGAGATCCAACTAAAATATAGAAGTAAACAATGATATGTTTAAGGTCATCAAAAACCAATCAACATGGAGATCTACAAGACAAGCTATGAACCATGTGTAGAGAAATTCGAACACGTTACTTCTACCTGAAGTTTGTGCTGATAGTGTTGTCCAGAAGAACGATGAATGCTCCACAACCGAGATCATCCAGCTTAGAGAACAAAACTCCGTCGAAAAACACTTATGCAGACGCTCAACTTCAATCAATTTATGATTTAGTATGATGATCTTTCATTTCAATTCATGATAACTGTTTAAATGTCGAAATCGCTGTATTAAACCAATGACAACTTCTCACGAGAACTTCAGGAACTCATTTCTAAATGAGTCACCATAGAAACTACGATTAGAATATTAAGACAGAAGTATGTAAGCGAATTATATTTACCTCAATAATTTTTCATCTGGTTCTATAGTTATCAGTCTAAACTAATAGTTGCAAGGAATAATTAAGTTTATGACATATTTAAGATTGTTGGTCAAATGAAATAATTAGCGTCAAATTAACTAGTATTGCCTGTCAACTTGACTAAGTTTATACTTTAATTGGAAGTGTAGAATTAATAATCAGAATGAATGGTAGATAATATAAGTATAAGAGGAATATTATCAATAATACTGATACAATAATGTAGTAATAAATAGGAAATATAATGAAGCTTCAAATTAGTCAAAAGTTTGATATTAAATTTTAAACAAAAAGAATAATGAGGATTTTTCTTTACCTGAAGCTGAAAAGTCATCTAAAATTTAATGAAATAAAGTGATACATTTTATATTTTCATTAAGTTAAATAGTTGATTCATCGGTGAGACTGTAATTTATGAACAACCTTTGAGCGAGGTTAGACTGATCTTGAGAGTGTCCACTTAATAACCAGGACCAAATGAGTGTTATAAACCTATGCGCGGCTTTTAGAATTATGATTTACATTTGATAACTAAGGTTAGAAATTAGATTTAGAACTTTCATTACGAATTGACATCAGCTATAATTGCCGAAACTCTATTTAACCAAATAGCTGAGTGAATTTCGCGCCGAAACTCGAGACCTGTTATCTTACACGTGATCGATTCGTCGATTTATCTTTAACTTTTTACAGAATTAAATAGATCTTATGAATTGTATAATGAATATTTGCTTGTTATGATATATATTAAGGTATCATTAGTTAGAATATTTAAAATTCCATTGATTACTTCTCATTACATAACAGTTATTACATTTAGGTATTCGTTTTATCACCTCATCTATACGAATCAGCAATTCTAACATAAACTTTGAAAACACATAACTCTTTTTTTAAAAACAGTAAGTATAATACATTGTTTTTCAACAAAAATTCTGTTAAATACAAAATACATCTGTGTAGCTTGACTTTATTGATTAGTGCAATCAGCGAAGTTATAAAATTTTAGAAAGATCCTATTTGGACAACACTGTCGGTAACTAAGAACTTTCATCTAAATTTGATCGAATAGTTTCACAGTATTTGGGCGCCGAATTAATGTAAGACATTAAAGGGGGAAGAATGTATTTGTAAAATCTAAGTGAATGAATTTCGAAGTAAATCCAAAGCTTGAGCGAGATTGCCAGGCGAAACGTTGGATTTACTTCAAAATTCACTCACTAAGATTTTACAAATACATTCTTCCTTTTTTATTGTCGGTAAATGTTTAACTATTTTTCATAATTTACGTCAATAACCTTCATAATAATAGGATAATCAATGAAATGGCGTAGGTTTTTTCTTTCTTTTGGCTAGTTTAAAGTTAGTTAATCATTCTGTTCATTAATTGTATTACACAAAAATATGTCTAAGCCTAAATAACAATCAATAAATTTTATTAATTTCAACAGTTGAGATCATGAGTCGATTGAAGCTAGACCACTATGGAAAACCTGGAAGCACTGGACGGCCGTTTCGCCCTATTGTGGGACTCCTCGGCAGTGCTCACCCACGGTCCCGCCTAGCGGGATCCGAGGCCAGGACCTATCAGTCTCGCGCCAGGCGTTTAACCAACTAGACCACTGAGCCGGCATCCAACGGTATTAATGTTTAACTTCACAAACCCACGCAATTGAGCGACACATCCACCATTGTCATCAGTGAGTTACTACCTCACAACTGACCCGGTTGAAATCCACTGGCAGTCCAGTGCTTCCAGGTTTTCCATGGTGATCTAGCTTCAATTAACTCATGATCTCAACTGTTGAAATTACTACAATCTCCACAAAACCCCTTCTGATATTAAATTTTATTCTTTAATTTAAATAAGTAATTCAATTGGTTAATAATTAAATAGTTATAATGTTTGATACAAATCTTATCAGTTCGATCATACCTTTTATCTTTATAATGAACCGAAATTCATGATAAGTATAACTATACATTTGGAAAAGCCAATCTTTTATTTTTTTTGAAAAAATTTCTTTCTTACTTGTTTTTGTTTATTCATGACATCAAGATTGGAAAAAATTCCATTTGTATTTGTTTCTTGAATTTCAATATCCCATTCTGTTTGACTATTTTGTTGATTTGAATGAAGATTCAATGTGTTTAATTTTGTCTGTTTATGTTTATTACTATTACTATTGGTATTTCTTGACAGTTTACAATTTCGACATTTTTTTACTAATAAGATTATAAAATGAAATATACCACATAAGAATCTGATTATAGATTTAGGACTTATAATTGTATTCAATGGTGGTGGAAGCGTTGATCCTTCATCAAAATAACCAACCCATAGTTTACTTCGAGCAAATTTCCATTCTGTATCTGCATGATTCTAGAACGAAAAAATATAGACGTTCATTCATTATAAGCATTTCATATATTCAAAAACTATATATTGTTGGCATATTTACGAAAAATTTTGTTAGTTTACAGCTCAATGTTCAGTTACCTGAGTGTTGTGGATTTGTAATACTTAGTGGCTGGTAATCTTATATTTTCCCGTTTTAGATTGAACGGCAGATATCGTTCCCCAATAAAGTTTCTATTGCTTGAATAAATCTTAGTACCCATTCAAATAAATGACAATAAATGTTTCCTAGTTAAGTAGCATACCATATTATGGGTTTCGTAATTTACATGAAAGTTAACTTTTATTTGTATCGTTCGATCAAGTTAAAGTGACTGTCTTGACTTATCTGATTTTTAACTGCTGTTAAATTGTTGTGGTTATATGTAATAAAGTACAGGGTATTCGTTAATGAAGAATGATTGATAGGTTAGTTACTCAAAATCTGTAAACATTGCCTAAATACCAATCTGATAATCAAGAATCGGGACAAGGTCATATTTAATGCTCATATAAATCATCATTTATAATTCAGGAAATATCAGAAATCTCCAAAACATTAAACTCAGTGTCACACTAAGGGATGTAAAGCATTTTACATTTTGACATAAGCGATGATTATTACAGTAAATAACTACTTCAATAATGTGATTCATATACCGTGTACGAGTTTATGTTTGAACTTGTGGCCTGTCAGTTGAAAGCCAAATACCCTAACCACCAAATCACCGTCTCTCAAATAAATAAAACTTGTTCACCAATCACAGATTTAAATGCTATTTTGAGCCATATTGTTTATGTAAGGTTTGGTAAGGCTACCTGAGTGTTACTGGAATAGACAGCTACTGAGTGGATAACACTATGGCGTTTGAAGCGAATAGTACTGGGTTTGAGTCCCAGTATGGATATCAACTCTGAAATACATATACATCCAGCTGATGAATCCAAAATATAACGAAACACTCATCCTGTATTCCACTGCCAGTCACTATCCATTTTTTCTTATTAAGCTTGTGAACATATGCCAATAATAGACTGATCAATTGCAGTCTTAAACCTCTACGGGAGGATTCAAGCAAACAATACCAAGTGAATTCATTAGAATGATTTATTAAATAAATTAGACAAGATTCATCCATTCAACTTTGAATTTATGCTTATATTTGTTAAATAAACATGCTATAAGAACATTTTTAGGCCATATGAGAATGTTTTGAAATTTCTCTTCGATATCAACCAATTATACTGTTTAGTATAAATTATTCGAAAGAATCTATTGAAATACGTTGATACAATACATGTTAAATAATATAATATCTACGAGACTACACTTCCAGTTAGTGTAACATTTAGAACAATATTGTTTTCGATTAGATCCTCATCAGGCTTTACCCTGATATACAGTAATATTTATACGGATATACGAAATTATTAAACCAATCAAGGTAGTTTATGAGTCAATGATAACAATGAAAAAGATTACATACAAAGTACAAATTGATAGTATGACGACCGGTGTACTAGTTTTGATAAGAATAACAAAGGCTTAAACCAATGTTACATAATTGGAAATAGGTCAATGATTAGAAAAATATAGACAGTGAGATAACATTTATAAAATTACGTAATAAGAAGGGTTCAGATAATTGAAACGTGAATCGTATATTTGAGAGAAAATAAAATGAAATGGTAGGAGGGGATGAAGAAAATAATAATAAACGAAAAGAAAGTATGGAAAATAATAATAAATAAATTCATTTATTAAGGCCAAGGGAGAGATAAGGGTGTTACAAATTTCTTATGAACACACAGACTTGGATTGTTGGCTCGAATTCCTATAGCTTCTGCTATGTGTAAGAGACGAAATCGAACACCATAAGAAAAACTAGTAGAAATACGATAAATAACTTTAAATGACTTGTTTCTGTCCACTACATGATCGCTATCGATCAAGTGTGATAGAACCGAGCTGCGTATTATCTTGACATTCCCTTTTCTTAACCACGAAGGGAAGTTTTCACTAACTCTTTGATTCAGTTGGTAGTTCGCCCAATATAACACATAACATTTGTCATTTGAATTCTTTTAAATAACACTACAATGTTTAATGCAACACATCAATGTAATTCAATACTTCAGTAATTCAATTAAAATTTGATTACACTTAGATAATTAAGTTCACTAATCTTATTTTAATCAGTTTGATAAATTATCTAAAAGAAAAAGAAATGTAATCGGAGCTATTTAAATGACACTTTATCTAAACAATTCGATTCAAATGAATCATTAAAGTTAATTTTTCAGTAAATCTAAATTTCTTATAAACAAATTTAGGCCAAGAATGATTTACCGTTCATTTAATGAGAACAACAATAGTTATTAAAGAGAAAAGAAAAAAAAACAGAAACAAGTAAACTGTGATTACAATTTCTTCCAATAAATTTATTTTATTATTATACTCTTATCTCAAAAGGTAACTCTCATGGGAAACAGTTAACCATAAAGTATGTAAATAACACAAAAGAAATAAAGATTTCAAACTTCATTTGTTGTTCAATAAAATTTTCTCTTTGCTTTTTTTTTCTTTTCAAAAATTTTTTTTTGTTTTTTTTGCCATAGAAAATAAATCTCAATGGAAAAGAATCGAAATGTGCAATTTTTTCTTTTTCCGATTACCTTGTTTCTTTTTTGTTGTTGTTGTTGTTGTTGCTTGTTCCCTCATTTTTAAATTCAGAATTGTGAGTAGAAAAAAATTCTTTTTCATCTAAAATATTTTTTTTGGTTTGATTTATTGTTAAATAAACCCAGTTTAACTTAAAAATTCTCTTTTTTTTTATTCATGTAAGTAATCACACACTAAATCTATCAAGTTGAATTGTAAACATTTCGATAATCCACAAGCAAGTTGTACCTACTTCTCAACGCCTTCAGTTAATTTTATGAAGTAAGATCTATTCTTAAGAATAGAAAGTAATATGATAGAATAAATAGAAAAAAAAATTACATTTTTCATTCATTCTGGGTTTTTGTTTAATGTTACTACTGTTTTTAATTCAGTATGATTATTACTTAGCTTAATGTTTGTTTTAGTTTTAACTTGATATTTTGTACAGTATAACACTGAGTTATTGTATTGCGATGTTTATAATATTTTTGGCATCATTTCACTATGAAATTGATAGTTTATAATTTTGTAGTAATTCTGTGTATATCCCCTAAGTGAGATGATTGTAAACTAATGATCAAGTTTAATTAAAATCGATGTATAAATGAGCGTATTTACTTATCACTTGAATTTGTTTCCAGTCTTGTGTTATCATTATAAATTGTCGGGTTTCGGTTTTCAGTGTCAAGTACAAGTCAGTTTAGTATTCTGTAGAGAAAAGTCGTCTATGTAATACAATATATATATATATATATATGTATATATATAACAACTAATTGTTGAAAGGAGAAGAGTTTTAGATGATTGATTCAACCTGCTTTGATCATCTATAGAATAAGATTTTCAACAGTTTTCATCGGTAGGTATCTACCAACTGGTCACAAAATGAAATGAATAGAGTTTCGCTGTTTGTAATATGAGTTATCTTAGGTTAACTAAGGTTCTAGGATATTTAAAATGCATTTTCTATTATAATTACTGGTTTTCTAGATAAATAGGAGTGATACCAAATATCTAAGGTTGGATATTTATAGCTTATGAAATTCATCATCCGCAAATCAGAACAATTTAAGACCTTAACGTCCAGTATGTACTTTTACCAGAAAGATAATAAGTTTTTGTTACTATTTCTAGGGTAAACTGTCATTAAACGAATTTTTCTTTGTTTTCCTGAAGTTTTAATTCATTAAAAAAGATTTTATTTATGTATACTTGCAGGTAATTAGTAAAATATTCAGTCTCATATCCGGGTTCCTTGAATGTAATTGCGTAGATATGTGTTTTGAGCAACTTTTTATTTTTTTCTGCTTCTGGCCTTCAATTTTAGCATTTAAGCAGTCTACAGATTTCGCCAACACATGTATCATGTTTTAAGTGTTAGTTCAATTGTCTGTTATTTAGAAACAATGCCTTCCCTTACATAACTACCAACAAGCAACAAATATATGCAGAACGAAACCTGACTTGAACATTTGTTTTTTACAACTCACTAGCTTAAAATTTCCGAATACTTTTTATTGTTTGATTTAGTTTACCTGTGATAAGTTTAAAAAAAGATACATGCAAAGAGAATATTTAACTGTTTATAATTCTGTGGAATTTCGGGCTCATATTTTCCTCTGTGTAACCATGATAGACTCTATTAAGTGGTTGACTCAAACATTATATTTTCTCAATGTAAACCTAGTGTAACTCAGTTGTCTAGCGTACGATTTTCTTACTTAAAGTGATATATGTAAGTTTTAAGTATCAATACTTAATTGAATGACGCCCTATATGTTGAAATAAAATCTAACAACTTTATCAATGCATTATCTCGTCTTACAATAACTCGTTGATAATCCACGTAAGCTATTTCATTTTTTGCTAAATAACTACAATCAGTTCAGATGAATGGTTTGTTAGACAAACAATTAAAACCTAACTTAACACTATCACGATTGATTTTTAATCCCAGTTACCCATACCTGAAAACACTAAATATTTTCTTTTCTGTTACCCTCGGTGATATGACAGAATACGCAAAGGTAATCTTAAGATTATTTGAAAGAACAGTCTTTAAATATGTGATTTTGTGAAGCTTTAAGTTAAAATAGAAAAACTTCAAAATAATGCTTTTAAAATTATTCATTACCAAATTCTGATTGTCCTGTCAACAAATAAAACATTTTCTTAAACACGTTCAATAGAATAATTATATTTTTGATTGAGATCGTGAACCGATTAATGTTGGTTCATCATTAAAAACCTGAAAGCACTAGACTGCCCGTTTCGTCCTACTGTGGGACTCCTCAGTAGTGCACATCCACGATCCCGCACGCTGGAGTCGTGCTCCGCACTTTCAGTCTCGCGCGTGAATGCTTAACCTACTGGGCCACTGAGCTGGCCGGCATCCAACAGTGTTAATGTCTATCCTCGCGCAATTTCATGGATTGGTTGATGTTAGATTGTTAAAACAATATTATGGTATTATATTGGTTGGCTATTTGAATACTAGCTACAAATAAACCTACACTTAAAAGCATAATTAAAAAATAGTTAAAATGAAAGCATTACAGTTTAATAATGTTATTCTTTTAAAAATATTTTATACTCTATACATGTACCTACCTGTATAGTTTGAAATGAATTAGACATCATAGCAATTAACATATTTACTAAGACTATAATTGCCATCGCATGATAAATTAATAGTAGGATTTCACCTACAACCATCGTATTTCTAGCTGATTCCATACGTTCACGTTCACCGCTGGTTTTATTTACAAATGTCACTTCAAAATTACCCGATTGACTGCTTCCAAATAAATGCCAAAATAATGTACGATATGAACTGACAAGTCTGTAATGAACATGAGATATAAACAGAGACATATAATAACAATGGTGAAAAAGATCAAACTTTTCCTAATTTTCATAACAAAAAAATTCATATGTAAGCATACATGTTTCCTATTCCACATTTTGATTATCAAAGTTCATTACTGATCTCATTTACTATTATGATGTAAATATATTTCTATGCTTATTATTGTTGAATTTTCTTTTCTATATCTTATATATTTTCTTTAAAAATTTAATGAATGACTGCTATAAAATCAGCTGACAGACTTTTAAATGTCATATCGTCACGGAAACAACAATCATGCGTAGCTTGCCGCCAAAAGAATGAAAAATGGAAAACAATGAAGACAAATTATTATTATTATTGTTTTCAATAAGATTGAAACAACATCGGATGTAAAATGTCTTCACTAAATAGGTGGTTAGGTGAATCTTTCATTGTTTTGTATACAATAGTAAATTAAATAAGTCTATTTAGACATTTATTGAAAGTTCTTTTTAATAAGTTATAGTACTCTTTGAATATTAATCTAAACAAAACAATTAGGATTATCAGGAGGGGTTTGTGGAGATTTTACAAATTTTCACAGATTGAAATCATGGGTCAGTTGAAGCTAGACCACCATTGAAAACCTGGAAGCACCGGACGGCCGTTTCGTCCTAGTATGGGAATCCTCAGCAGTGCGCATCCACGATCCCGCACCCCGCGTGATTTGAACCCGTGACCTACTGGCTTCGCGCGCGAGAACTTAACCACTAGACCGCTGAGCTGGCATTCGAAGGTGTTAATGTGTAACTTCAACTAATCCACGAAGTTGCGCCACCATATACCATTGTCTTCAGTGAGCTGATATCTCACAACAGACCGTCCAGTGCATCCAGGTTTTCCATTTTGGTCTAGCTTCAACTGACTCATGATTTCAATCTGTGACAATTAAGATTCTTTATTGAAAAAAAACATTCCATATTCTAAATTGAGTTAACCGAAATTATTTGACGTTGTAAATTGTGAAAATATTACCAATGAAACTTCCTAACTTTTTTATCCCATTGATTTTGGAAAAGAAAACGTTTAAGATTGGTTATATTAAAACTGATAGGTTAATTTTAATGAATGTATTTAGTGATATTTATTACTGTAGTGTTTCATGAGATTCTATTATCATATAAAACTGATGTTAACCAGAAAAGTTATTTTGTATTAGTTTCAAGACCTGCTTGAAATAAACGTCACATATGTGAAAGAATTTGGTACCTACAGATCAGTCAAAGAACATAGAACAACTAAACCATTAGATAATTATTCTTTAGTATATGCTTGCAACTTCAAAAAGTATGAGATGTTGCAAATTCTTCAGTGTTATTAATGTTGGCACAAGAAATTTAGACTCTTGAATGAATTACACGTAGTTCTCCTGATTCACACCGGGAAAATTTGTAACTTGAAAGAAACGACTAAAGTGTTCTCGTATTAAAAATTTTTTTTACAGTAAATGTAAATTTGCGAATAAATTTGTATTTAAATAGTACAGGACCCTCAAATGCCCTAGTACGGTCGAAAGTGATCAGATTTCTCTCTCTCCCTCTCTCTCAAAATGCTCTCATATGGCCACATGCATTGAACCACTGTCAGAAAATTCCTACTCACTGCCTTCTCGTAGCGGGGATGCTGTTTACAAAAAATGAGAGGACGAAAAACGAATGCCCGGCGCTTTAACCGGGTTGGTGGACACAGAGAGTCTACCTGGGGGCGTTGGAAAACCCTGATTTCAAACCAATGGTGAACATGGGCTCCAGTATCCTAAGGAACAAATGACGTATGAACCAATCGTTGGTCACCGGCTACCGTAGGACTGGATCTCCTGACGTTGCTCCGCTGCCTTGTGGATGAAACCTTGAGGTCGAAGGCTCCAGGTGTGGCCCCCTAAGTAAACCACCTGCTTTGGTTTGGGTACACGGGCAGTATCACAGACCTCACACAAATCAAATGAGATTTGTGTGTCGCATATGTATTTGGTGCCTCCTTGTACCATTATCTATGTGTTCAAATAAATAAATTCACAGAACCCACATAAGTAGCTAACTTCATTGGGCTCACTATCGACTAGCTATGAATCGAATTCTCTAAAGTACTAATTAGGAATCATTACCAGTGGAATGAATTAAATCAATGGAGAAATATTAATTTTATTATAGTAATAAATCAAGATCTCATTATCAAATGAAATGTGTCAGGCGTAAATTTGCTGGTATATTACAAAATAAAAAAAGAAAATTCTGTACAAGAGATAACATTTACTATTACTTTCAAATTATGATCTCAAATTGAAAACAATCAGTTATATATGAAATTACCTAAAATCTTACAATTTAATGCCCCTAATAACTGACCCGTACCACTTATATATAAACTATAAATTTAAACTACACTTAATAATCACAATTGTCAAATTAGATAACAAATCATCTAGATTTGAACTTTGAGGTTAACCAAGAAAACAAAAGAAACGAAAAGAAGCTCATTTGATGATGTTTACAAAGATCCAAACAGTAATTGATTGACAAATAATTTACAAAATATTTCTTATTACTTAATTCATTGTAACAAGATTGTTAATATGACAGAATGACAAAGAAGTTTTTATGTTCACTTTACAAATCATATAGTATCATTAGATGTATAAATTTGTATAAGACATTGAATAAATAAATAAAGTATTACAACAATTCATTGTCTATTAGAATAAATTATCAGAAGGGATTTTATGGAAATTTTAATTGAAGCTAAACCAATAGATTTTCCATGGTGGTCTAACTTCAATCGACTCATGATTTCAACTATCGATATTAGAATAAAGTCTTTTTGTTGCTGTTGTTGTTGTTGTTGTTTCATTGAACCCAAATAGTACAATGTTACAGTGGAATAGATTTTGAAATTTTCGTCAAAGAAAAAGAAAATTAAAATTGCTCTAAAGGAATCATTCAAGCATTACAAATTTCAATGTGAAGTATTTCAGTTAGTTTTAAGCTTGTTTTTATTTTTTATTTTTTTATTTTTTTTCGAAAATAGAAAACAATTTGATTGTTAATACGTAATAGAATACAATGATGAAAGAGGTTTGACTACTATTGAATTATTTTTGTTTTGTTACAATCAAATAGATTTATTATTAAGCAATTAGTTTTAAAAAATAAACTGGGGTTTTCGTTTGTTTGTTTCTGAGATGAAAAAGCTGAAAATATATTCACAATTGATTGATCACTGGGTGGTGATCAATCTCATCTGTGTCAAGTCCTTATTAGTGCAGATCGAATTGCTATCGACCATGTTGCAATGTGGCCATCAGTCCAGGTGACTTGACACTGCGTGCACTATTTAGAGATTAGATGGTGGTTAGAGGTAGTCGACAGGAAACCCTGGGGCCGGGTTTCGTGCTACTTGGCACTCGTCAGCAAGGTGTACCTGTAATCTTGAGGGAACTGGTGCTCCCTGATGGACTTGACCCCGTGTCACCTTAATTTTCGCTTTAGATTCATTCATTTCTATTAAAATTCAAAGAATACTAACTCTATAATAATTTCAATAAGTTAGTTTCTTCAACACAAACCACAATTGCCAGTTTCAAGTGTTTTCATGAAATGCCTCTTATAGTACAGAAGTCTAAAGCTAATAAAATGTGTATATTATTCTTATTCATTCATCTGCTTCTTTTATTATCATCGACCTATTTTCCTCTTATACTATTATGAGGAGATGAAAATAGCAATTTAAATTCGATTCGAAAAAAATACAAGCTGAAAATCCAAAGGCAGTGTAACTACTTGTGGTTGATCATCAATTTAATATTTGTAAATTAGTACAAAAGACTTCAAAAATGATCTGGCTCTTCTATCGCAATCGCAACAACAAATGCAGGAGAAGACGATCAGTGTAGCAGCAGCCTAAGCAGCAGTAGGTCTCAACGTACACAAAGGGAAAAGCAAGATTCTCTGATAAAACACAGCATGCAACAATCGAATCACACTTGACGGAGAAGATTTGGAAGATGTAAAAAGCTTTACATATTTGGGCAGCATCATTGATGAACACGACGGACCTGATGCAAACGTGAAAGTGTGAATCGGCAGAGCAAGAGCAGCATATCTACAACTGAAGAACATCTGCAACTCAAAACAACTGTCTGTCAACCAACCCAAAGGTCAGAATTTTCAGTACAAATGTCAAAACAGTTCTACTGTATGGTGCAGAAACCTAGAGAACTACGAAAGGCATCATCCAGAAGATACAAGTGTTTAATCACAGTTGTCTATGCAAATACTTCGGATTCGTTGACCAGATACTATCAACAACAACTTACTATGGGAGAGAACAAATCAGATCCCAGTGGAGGAAGAAATGAGGAAGAAGCGCTGAGAGTGGACAGGACACAGATTATGGAAAGCCCCGAGCTGCGTCAAAGGCATACCCTCACATGGAGTCCTCGAGGTCAACAGAGGAGAGGAAGACAAAAAACACATTATGTCGAGAAATGGAGATAGACATGAGAAGGATGAGCAAGAATTGGTAGAACTGGAAAGGAAGGCCGATGACAGAGTGTGTTGGAGAATGGTGTTTTGCAGTTTATACTCCATTGGGAGTGACAGGTGTAAGTAAGTATGATTAGTCCAAAACGATTGAGATAAAGCGCTCGAATGCTGAAAACTCTAATTTTAATTTTTAGTTTTGTAGAAAGAATAACATAACATGTCCAGATTTTTAAAGTTGGGTTCACTGTAATATTATCAGGTGAAAATAAAGACTGGAATTTAATGGTTCATACATATTTATCTGATTAAAAGCATTTGAAAAGAATCTGTCTTTATCTATACTAGAAGATAAAAGAGTTCAAGACATTTTCGATGTTGATCGGCTTCATTTAGAAGTAAACATTAGAACTTAATTCAAACTGGCTAATCCCTACGAGAAAACGTTTTCACAGTTGAAATCACGAGTCTATCTAATTTAGACCAACGAAAACTTGGAAGCACTGGACAGCCGCTTCGTCTCAGTATAGGGCTCTCCAGCGGAACTCGAACGCATGACCTTCAGTATCGCACAAAAACGCTCAACATCTAAACCTCCGAGCCGGCATTTAACAATGTTATTGTCTAATTTCAATCAATCTATGACTTCGCGCAATCCTTCACCCCATTGACTGTGGTAGATAACTGTCTCACACTTGACAAGGCCATCGAGTGCTTCCAGGTTTTCATTAGTGGTCTAGCTTATATATGTTCATAATTTCAACTGTGAAAATACTGCCATCTCCGCCGATTCCTATTCTGATGAAAAACCGATTAACAGTCAAATTAGTTCAATCTATTTGTATTCGTAGATGTAAGAACTGTTGAACAATTTAAAATAAATTTGTTTGTTTATTTGTTAAAAAGCATAAAGATTAAATTATTAATACACAAGCATCTTTAACAGGATAACTAATTAATTAATTAATTTGAATCACTCCATAACTTTTGGATGTTACTTCTCTTTTTATGTTACATTATAAAATATCATTAAATGCGATTGATTGATTTATTCATTATTATCGTCATTACCATTATTATTGTTATTACCAGTATTATTATTGTAAGTTAAAAACGAAATTAAATTTTTTAATTTAATCTAGATCACCATTGAAAACCTGGAAGAACTGAACGGACGTTTTGTCCTAGTATGGCACTCATCAGCAGTACACATCCACTGACTGATTGAAGTTAGACATGAGCACCGTTGGATGCCAGCTATACTTTAAACGTTATCACCCGGGGCATTAGTTCTTGTGTTTGAGTCCCGAGTGCGGGGTTGTGGATATGCACTGCTGAGGAGTCCCAAACTAGGAGGATACAAACGTCCAGTGCTTTCAAGTTTTCAGTGGTGGCCAAACTTAGATTGACTCATGAATTCGACTATTAAAATTAATACAATCCTCATTCTGATAAAAATGCCATAATGGAAATCATTTTTCTTTCTTTATATTCATTAGTGGCAAACGTTTTATAACCAACGTTTTTCAAATATATTTATTAGTTGAAGATAGACTGGATTATGTAAACGTTATATCTACAGAAAGTTTATATAATCAAGGTAATATTCCAGATTTCATAGTTTTTGTTTAATCCAATAGAAATAAAACTTTATTAAGGTTCGTGTAACAGAATTCACAGAATCTATGCATGAAAAAATATTTTAAAAATGAAATGGTTTAGTTGAATGAAACATTGGTACAGAAAAGACACCCTAAATGATTGTCTGATCTGTAGAAAACCCCTGAATTTTCAAGTGGAAGTAAATGTCAACATAACCACACTAGTCAGATGTTAGTCAAATAGTATTTATGTTGAAGTGAAGGCTTAAACAGAGACAAGTCGATTACATTACACACTTAAAACCGTCGTAATTCTAAGAACAAAATTCGTGTATATCAAAAAACTAACCATCATATCAACTATCTAGTCGAATGTCATCATATTTATCAAATTAAATATGTGTTTGGATACACACAAACGAAAGAGAAACCTCCGTATTCCACTAAAGGTTGTTGTACAAGGATTTAAATTGTTTCAGAAGCAAATATAGCTCACCATTTCGTTTGACCGAGTGACAGATATCTAGTTTTCCTTATTATCAGAATTACAAAGAAGACTAACCAGAGGATTGGTTTGTAAATAGCCTTTTGGTACTCCTTAGATTTGTTACTTATGAACTTAAAATGGTGGCTTCTATCACTTTTAAAATTGTCAGATTTACTGCTTACATTTGAAGTAAGATTTTTTGTTAGGATTACCAGATTCTCAAAGTAAGCGTTTTATGCTAAACACATCAAATATTGGTGGTATATTACAGAATTTAGAGGCCAAAGATAAACACACGTTTATTGAGCTAAAAGCACATTCTTAGACTGAATTTGATGCCGATACCACAATAGTTTTCATATTCAGCTTTGACAATCATTTTATTTTAGACAGAAATCGATATTTATGTAGTAGATTATATTTTGTTTCTGGTTAGCAGGTCCATACATTTTCGATGAGATTTAACGTAAGTCTTTTCAATTCAGGTAATGTATAGTTTCATCTAATATTTTTTCCAACGTTTCACACTCGTTTAAGAAATCTAACCAGATCATTTATAACCACATGGGCTTGTTTTCTATACAAATAAGCGTTTACATTTGATTGTAGACTAAACAAAGCGCTAGAAAAGTAATTAGTAACCGATCCTATTTTAAGAGTTTGCTGCTTGACAGAATATGCACAAATATTACAAGCTTTCAGTATCCTTATGTTAGCCAGAATAAGGGTTTTACTCTAACCTTAAAGATGTCTTGATAGAGAAGCTCTGGAAGAGGTGGAAACCTTCACGTACCTGGACAGCATCATCGATGAACAAGGAGGATTTGATGGAAATGTGGATGCTGTGATTAACAAAGCGGAAGCTGTATTTCTATAGTTGAAGTATATATGGAACTCAAAACAACTGTCTGCAAGCCAACATCAAACTCACAATCTTCAATACGAACGTCAAGGCAGTTCTACTGTATGAAGTTGGAACTTGGAGAACTACCACAACCGTCATCAAAAATGCACAAATATTAATAAACAATTGTCTGCACAAATACTCGATGTACGTTGACCGGATACCGTCAGCAACAGCCTACTGTGGAAGAGATCAAGCAAACTTCGAGATGAAGAGGAAATTAGTAAAAGACGATGGGAGTGTATAATGCATACAATACGGAAATCACCAAACTACATCATGGAGCTAGAGATAACTTCGTATCCTGAAGGGAAATGGGAAAGTGAAATACTAAAGAACACACTACATCGAGAATTGAAAGCAGACATGAAGGGAATGAATAGCAACTGGAAAGAACTGGAAAAGAGTCCCCAGTACAGAGTTAGACGGAGAATACTAGTGGGTGGTCTATGCCCCTCCACGAGGGGTAACAATCGTAAGTAAATAAGTATACTAAAGTTGCCTCTTAGGTGGCTCGGCTGATATTCTAGAGAACTTTATATTAAGAGAACATCTAAACAAGCACATCAGAATCATTGAAAGCGCTGTTTGGGATAATGATGTAAATATTATATAAACGGTCTTAAAAGATTATAATTTTTACGAATGTTGGGGATATGGGATCAAAATAAAAACGGCTCTGAGTTCAGCACTATCAACAATATAACATATTTCAAAATGTTCCAATCCTTAGTTCAAACCTTACAAAAACAGTTTCAATACATAGCGTTTGGACAACGTTCCAAGTATAAAACTGTTAATTTTCACTAGGTTTCCATTCATTCTAATTAAACAGGCTTTCTACTTAAATACTGAATAATTCTAATTGAAGTAAAAAACAATTCAGTGGATATGGTTAATCTGAAAATTAAAGCACATTTAATTCACTTATAAACCATAGTATGAAGTATTTCTTGGCTCAAATGAAGTTTCCCCTCTATTTAATCAAATATTATAATAACCATTAATATTATTGTAGGTATTACTATTATTATTTACTAAAGTTATTACTTATCTGTAAACATTTACTACAATTATATTATACTCAACTGTTATATTATTTTATATTAGATAAGCAATTTCGAGTATTTAAAGAAGTAATGTATTACATAGAGTATATTCATTTATTAGAATGAATTATACTGATAAGCTTTGATAAACTATTCAATACAAATTTAATTGAAAAATGATTCTATCAACAAAACTGTAACTCTTTTATAATATAAGCTCCTTTCAACGTTGTTATGCTCTTATTGGGTTAAAATCTAGAGCATATGAATGTATACTTTTATCTAACACGATAATGACTTTCAGTTACTTGGTATTGTTTGGCTTTTGTCTTCCCATTGAGGTTTAAGACTGCAATTGATCAGTCTGTTATTGGCATGTGTGCATACTGTGCGTATGCCTTGATATTGCCTGAATTCACAAGTTTTTTGTAAGCAATGATGGATAGTGGCTAGCAGTGGAGTCCAGAACGCGCGTCTCGTCCTATTTGGGACTCGTCAACTGGATGTACCTGCATCTCAAAGTTGATGTTCACTCTGGGACAAGCAAGCCATTATCAGGACTCAGTAGCTGAGTGGATGACGCGATGGCGTTTGAAGCGAATGGTACTGGGTTCGAGTCCCTGAGTGAACATCAACTCAGATGCAGATACATCCAGCTGACGAGTCCCAAATAGGACGAGACTCGCGTTCTGGATTCCACTGCTAGCCACTATCCATCATTGCTTACAAAATTTCAGTTACGTTTACATAAAATGTTATTTTCTTTTTTGTTGCTAGTACATATTTCAAATAAACAATTAAAAAGTTCTGTGTTGTTTAAACTGAGATATATTGTAATCTTAAAATTCTCAACAAAAACAGTTCTATTTTCTAACCTTGATAGTTAAATATTGGTATTGTAAACACTATAAGAAAGTAAATAATTACAGTAAGAATGTATTTATAAAACAAATCATTTATCAATTAAAACTTACGAACTAAATGCACGTGGTCTATTGTCTTCTTCATTTGAAAGATAATAATAATACAATTGATGAAGACCACAAGCAAAGGAAGAAATTACTAATAGAAAGATGAAAATGAATTTTGTAATATCAATTAACATATTTCCAAGTGAAATTTGTAATGGTCCAAGGTGTTCATTAATCTGAAAAATAATATTATAGAAAAAAATATTATCTATTTTATCAGTTACTGTAGACACGGATGCATATGTATAAATTAGAACTAAAAAATTAGACATTCATTCGTCTACTGTAGTAAAAATAAATCAAGACCCTATACAATTACACTCTTATCAAATTTTAGTGTTTTTTGTAACGACTAATGACATTCCTCTTTTCAAGTGTGATATTATGAAACGATTTTAGTTAGATAATCAAAGAAAAACATCATGCACTAGACATTTGTTCTGTTTTAATATGGAATTCCTCAAAAGTGTTTTGACCACCATTCCAATGAGTATCAAACCCAAAATCATAAGACTTTTGATCCCTTCATCCTACAATTTATTTGCCTGGAACTAAATAGTTATCCAAAGCTTCCTGGTTTTAAGTGACTGTCTTAGATCAGTTCACAATTTAAAGTACCAAATTTTAACACTCTTCACAACACCAAGTAACAATATTCTTCCATATCATCACTAAGAGCACATCGTTAATGATAGGTTTCATTTGATAAAATATTCTTCAAATTACATTTTGAACAAGTATAGGTGCCATTGTTTATGCTATTCTTGTCGATTTATTTTAAAGAAAAATAAATAAAATTAAAACAAATTTAATATATGATAATTTAATCAAAAAAGTAGCCCAGTAATTAGATTTCCATTTCATGAGCTAGTAAATGACTTACAAAAGATCTCATTCTATAGTCTTTTATCAGTATAGGGTTTGTGGAGATTATTAAGTTTTCGATTGAGATCATGAACCGATTGATGTTAGACAACCGTCGGAAACCTTGAAGCACCGGATGGCCGTTTCGTCCTATTGTGGGACTCCTCAGCAGTGCCCATCGTTGATCCCAAACGCGGTTTTCGAACCCAGGGTCTTCAGTATCGCCCACGAACGCTTAACCTACTGGACCACTGAGCTGGCCGGCATCCAGTGGTGTTAGTGTCTAACATAATCCAATCCATGAAAATGCGCGACCATCTTCCATTGTACTGAGGTAGATACCAGTCTCTACCCGACACGAATTAGCTCCACTGTTGGAGCTACCTCAGTACAATGGACGATGGTCGAGCCATTTCGTAGATTGGTTGATGTTAGACAATAACACCACTGGATGCCGACTCAGTGGTCCAGTAGGTTAAGCGTTATCGCCCGAGACTATAATCTTTTAGTTAGAAAAACAATTTTACTTAATTACCTAGTAGAATAGCTAACCATACCATTAACATCAAACTGGTTGGCTAATACCAAATGTAAATAAATATAAAACATTACGTCTGGTATAACAAATGTTTATTTTCCTCGTGAAGACAACAGTGTGGTGTGTGCTACTTATGTTGACAGATATAAGTAGTATGTAACATCAGTCGAAAGTGAAATGTCTAGAAAAAGAAGGTTGGGAAGATCGAATAAAAGAGAACATGAGCAAAGAATGATTGATGTGAAAATGAACGCACAATAAAGTTTGAGACAGTTCGAATCTCGCGAGGCGGGATCGTGGATGCGTACTGCTACGATGAAACGGCCATCTAGTGCTTTCAGGTTTTCCATGGCGGTCTAGCTTCAATTGACTAATGAATCCAACTATTAAATTATTATAATCTCCACAATACCCCTCTCTGATTATAAATTATGAACATTTTGTTTACTCTTCTAATAGATACCTGTTTTCCCTTAGATAATTTATAAGATATTTATAATAAATTATAGAGATTTCGTTTGTTTTCTACGAAAAAGTTTGTAAACATATTTGTTTTCAAAGAGAAAAAAATGAATTCAAATGTAAACATAATATTAACTGTCTCAAGTTGCAAATTCCCCAACCTCCCGCCAAAAATATTTAATCCTAAATGTAATTCGATCTTAGATGAATGAAGAAAAAGAGGAATGATAAAATGATTCACATTTAGGGTTTTATTCTAAATCCTCAAAATTTGGTAAGTGTGAAGAAGTTATAACATAGGATACTTGTATTATTGTGTATACATAATCAGTACCCTGAGCTGATATGACTAGTGTTGTTAATGAGGAGTATTAATTAAAGGTGCGAAACTTCCAATGACAGGATAATAAAAAAATTTGAGATTTTTCCTAAAAAATGAAACTGCACACTTATATCCAAAGTATTTGATGCATAAATAAAAATGAAAAATTCACTTTAAAAACCTAAATGGTTTCAATAATCAAACTGTCTAAGTTATTCACTAGTTAGCGAACCTTAGACCTGAACATGAGTTAAAATTCTTGACATGTAAATCAAAAAGCTTCAAATAACTGGCTGGTTCTAATGTTAACATTGAATCCAACAGAAAACTGAACCAAATACCATTTTAACTCACATTGAATAATGCTGAGGAACTTCATGTTCCATTATTTTTCGTCAGTTTATGGTGAAACCATCTTTTTAGCGTGAATACTGTTGAGTTAAAGTTGAATTTAAAATGGTTACTTTCTTATTATGAAAACAAATCTTTCAATCTCATAGAATGTTTGAGGATTGTTATCTTGTATCACTTTCCTAACTGTTTCGTTGTATCAACTTTGTTTATAAGATTAATTTTATTTGTGAATGATCTCCATACATGAACCAGTTTTTCTAGGCATATTTTATTATTAATAATTGGGACAAGAATCTATATTTGTTATATTTAAAACCTTAGACCGGAATGAAAAAAAGTCCGTCTTAGTTTTAATAACTGGTTGAGATATATCTATCCAAAAGATTGATTTTGTGCATTATACACTATTTGTATATCATTGTAAACAGTGAAGATGGTCACTATTAAATTCTATAGTTGTTATACTGAAAGGAAGTTAGAAGATGCATATTTAGAGTCCGATTGTTTTTGTCAATTGTTGTATGAAGCAGACTGTTTAGTTTAATTATTGCCTAATAAAACCTTGTTAATAAAAATTCTGCTTATCAATTTCTAAAGGGTAATTTTGTTTACCAACAAGTGAAGTGTAATACTGGTTGGCATAAGAATAGGTCATCAGTAATCTTGTAAAACGTATACCAGGACATGACAGTGATCTGCTAATCTTTTTAACTGTTAATCTAAGGCGTGTACATAGGTGCAAGCAAACTGATCAATGCACTCATAATCTTTGTTTTTAGTGGTTGAAAACTTGAATATAAATCCATTTTTTGTATAACTGATATATGAATATAAGAGACAATCACTCTATATGTTTTTCCTTATGGATGTCACCCTGATATAATGTTGTTAGGTTATTTCTCCTTGGATGAATATTATTTCTATTGTGATAATTGAGTTTCATCAGGTGTCTGTACTAATTGGAAACAGCACCGTTCATGTACGATTAGTATTATTTGTACATACTTTTTTCTCACAATACCTTTTCTGTACAGTTTTGAAAGTCTTTCGCGTGGCTCTAAAAAAATTGTAGGCAATTTTCGTCTTTTAGGTTATTTGAAATCGGAAGAGCGACACAGACACCGGATATATTAAAATCTGGATTTAACACTTGAGCTAACTAAAAGATGAGTAGTAATATCTTAATTATTTTAATTATATATCCTGCGTTTATGTTCGTTCCCTACTTTTCATTCTTCGAGTTATCACGTCATTTTGAGATGATTTTGCAGGGTTTATATTTCTGTTACGATTTAAATAACTTCCAATCATGTGCTTCTCATCTCCTTTATGTTTTTCCCCGGCTATGCTAATGTAATATGTGACAACTTGATCCCACATCCAGGTTATAAATTGATTATGAAGAATTGATATTAGGAAATTAACATTCATCTAAACACATACTGGACTACCTAAAACGTTTCACTAGTGTATTTTTACTAATATGTTATCACATAGTAATTTAAAATAAACCTTAACTTATTAACCATTTGAATAAATAATGATTTCTCAAGCTCTACATAATAAAGCTACATCTAGATTTGATTATCCAGAAGTTTGTGTAAAATGTCTTTAATTACAGTAAGCGTTTTATTATAAACATTGTAACTCATAATTTGTTGGCAAGGCTATAATTTATGGACGAACCAATCACGTATAAGATAACAGGTCTCGGATTTTCGCGCAAAATTTTGGCATTAAAACTAATGTCAGTTCGTGATGAAAACCCGAAATCTAATTCCTAACTTAAATCATCAACTGTAAATTATACTTCTCATTCCTCGTACAGGTTTCTAACTCTCATTTGGTCCTGGTTATTAAGTGGACACTCTCAAGGTCAGTTTCACGTCGCTCAAACGTCGTCCATAAATTATAATCTCACTCACCATACAGTCATAAATTATGTATGAATGTAGCAATCACAATTTTAAGGACAATTCAACCATATAAATTAATTTATAGTATTAAGCCTGGATAGAACACATTGAGAAAATCATCAACATATCAAAATCCTAAAAACTATGAAAACATTTGTTGTTGTTTTTTTGGGAGGGGAGGAGAATTAGAATGGTTATAATGAGATTAGAATGCAAAATGTTCAAGTGAATTATTGGTTATTTTCCCCAATCATATTCAACTCAAATAGTAAAGGTGTAAGGTGTTTTTTCTTTAAAAAAATAATCAACAACTGCTTATTCATAATTACAATTTCAAAAGTATATGATAGAGTCTGTGGTGGTCGGTATTCAATATAATCCTTAAACTTCGTGTACAGTTCGTCCTGATAACCGTCACTAGATAACGCCCCAACGGTATATTAATCAGAAGGCGAATACGAAGTGTTGATTACGTTTATTATTGTAGCACACACAGATATCCAAAATTACATGTACGCTAAGCAAGCATGAATGAGTTGTACCGAAAAGGAAGCAGGTAAGCGACCGAACGAACGAGTGAGTCAGCGAATATGAATACGAGTAAACGAGTACAATTAAGTGAGAGAGAGCAATGAACGTGAATAACATGGACATATATATATGACATGGATAAGTTGTTGTTGTACGGATGATTCAGTTCGTTAATAAGTTAACAAAATGACTTAACTGAATTAAATGTGAACCAACTCAATTACGCGTGAGTTGCTATAAGTCATTATCAATCTTTAAAGAAAATGAAATTCTAATTTTGGTTGTGTTTTCTTTCTTCCTTTTTCTTTTCATTTCATGGAACACATTCATTGAATTTGACTTTGACTATTTTCTCATTGTTTTTAATCGTTTACTTATTATTTAATAAATTCGAAATCAAACAATCAAGTCATATTATTCTCATTAAATAATGTTTAACCTAATCTCTTTGATATTATTTTCTTCTTTTTTTCTTCCAGTTTGTCGGCTTTTCATTCCCATTTAAAAGAATAAAAGAACCATTTCCATTTCTAAACTGTGTTATTTTGGTTTATTAGAAAAGAAAGTACTTTGTTGTTCAGTGAGTTTGAAAATGTACGTTTTTTTTTTGCATAATAAACGTTCTCTTTTCTTTTTTTGTTGTTGATTTTTTTTCTTTTTGAGGGGTAATAGAAAGAAAACATCAATTTTTTGTTGTATGACCAAATCAAGAAATTAGGGAAATAGTAGTAAAATGTTAAAATTTGCATTTTGATTTTATGTCTCAGTTTCAATCTAAATTATTTTTTTGTTTTGTTTGAATAAACAATCTAGAAATTAGAAGTAATTTAAATTGGGCCAAAATAATTATTTGAGCCATATATATACGAAAAATAGTATCCATATTGTAATAAGTATCAAATGCGTAAAATGTTCAGTATGAGGTTTTGGAGGTTATTAAGTTTTTGATTGAGAACATGAACCGATTGATATTAGACCGCTATTGAAAACTTTGAAGAAATGGACTGCCTTTTCGTCTTATTGTGGGACTCCTCAGAAGTGTTAGTTCTAGTTGGAAGCCGTGACCAGTGAAGCTAATCCGTATCGGGTAGTTTTACTTCGTCTACACATATGGGACGATAATTTACCTTAACCGAATATCGGTTCGAATCCCGCGAGTGGAATCGTGGATGCGCACTGTTGAGGAGTTCCATAATGAAATGAAAAACAACCGTTCAGTTGTTCCAGGTCTTCAATGATGGTCTAACATCAATCAGTTCATGATCTCAATCAAAATCGGAAATTGTTGTTATATTTCTTAAATATCAATACATACCAAGGAGAATCTCTGTCTTATTATGTTCTCTAACAAAGTTTTAATTGACTATTATTTTGTTTCCGATTAATTTCAAACTTATTTTCCTTGAAAAAGCTTGGACCAGATTGCCAGGTGACACGTTGGATTTACTTCAAATTCTTTCGCTGAGATTTTACAAATACATTCTCCCTCTTTATATATTTTTAGTTTTATATGGATTCCTTATTGAAAAGATGATTTGCCCTTAGTCGTAGTTTTAAAGAGTATATGATCAGCACACAGATACTGTTCAAGTTTCTGTAAAATTAAATGGTAAATTCTAACACTCGTTCATCTGTAATCTAGTTGAAAAATATGTTAATACCATCTTTAGTTATAACTATATATGTTTTTCAAATTCTCTCAAAATTTTCAGGTTTCTATTAAATATACGATTAGTTTACGGTTCATGAATTTGAGGTGAAATCGATAGGATAAAACGCTTTACCATTTATCAAGTTATAAAAATGTCGAGTCCTGTTTTACATACTTCATTTTCACCATATTAGGGATCTCATTACAAATTAAAATTCAAATAAAAAACGAAAAAAAATATTACAGATTGATTTTATCCTGAGTTATAGACTCATTTCATAATACAATAAACATTCAAGACATAGTGATTAGATCCTATTTTTGAATAGTCTTGAATATATAAAATTTTACCACCCAGTAAAGATGTTAGTTTTATGGCATACCAAAACAAAAAAAAAACAAACTTAAGAATAACCTGCCAGATGGTTATAATAGATGAATTCGTAAAATTTTCTTTAAAAAAAGTAATCTTAATTAGTTTCTAATCAACTAATGAAAAATAAGTTTGTTTGTTTTTTAACTAAGATTTATTGTTTATTAATCAGTAATTAAGATTGTTAGAAATAAACGATACTATTATTAGGTATACAAATTCACTAACATTTACTGAAATGAAAACAAATGTAATAAGCTATCTTTTGTTTTGATACTAATTTCTTACATATTCAAATCATATTCAATTTAAGTACCATTACTTACTTACCTTCTTACTTACACCTGTTACTCCCAGTGGAGAATAGGCCGCAGAACAGCATTCTACAACCCACTCTGTCATCGGCCTTCCTTTCCAGTTCTATCCTATTCTTGTTCATTCCTCTCATATCTATCCCCGTTTCTCGGCCTATTGTGTTTTTGGTCTCCCTTTCCTCCTTTGACCATGAGGATTCCATGTGAGGGCATGCCTTGTGATGCAGTTCGGTGCTTTCCATAATCTGTGTCCTATCCACTTCTAGCACTTCCTTCTGATTTCTTCCTGTACTTGGATCTGATTTGTTCTCTCCCATATTAGATAGTTGGTTGACAGTTGTTTTGAGATGCATATGTTCTTCAGTTGTGGATATGCTGCTCTTGCTCTGTCGATTCGCACTTTCACGTCTGCATTAGATCCACCGTGTTCATCAATGATGCTGCCCAGATATATAAAGCTTTTTACATCTTCCAAAGTTTGTCCGTCAAGTGTGAATCGATTAGTGCATGCTGTGTTGCATCAAAGAATCTTGCTTTTCCCTTTGTGTATATTGAGACCTACGGCTCTCGAGGCTGCTGCTACACTGATCGTTTTCTCCTGCATTTGTTGTTGCGTTTGGGATAGAAGGGCCAGATCATCTGCGAAGTCCAGATCGTCCAACTGCATCCTAGACGTCCATTGTATCTGTGTTTTCCTTCAGATGTTGGCGTCTTCATGATCCACTCGATCACCAGGAGAAAGAGAAGGGGTGAGAGTAAGCAACCTTGCCTGACACTGGTCTTTACCTCGAACGAGTCTGTCAATTGTCCACCATGCACAATTTTGCAGTTTAATCCATCATAGGAATTCCGTATGATATTGACTATCTTAGGCACGCCGTACTGTCGAATAAGCTTCATTAGAGTTTTCTTGTCCACACTATCAAATGCTTTTTCGTAGTCAATGAAGGTGATGTAGAGTGATGATTTCCATTGAATTGATTGTTCCACAATGATCCGTAGTGTTGTGATTCGGTCTGTACACGATCGATCCTTACGGAATCCAGCCTGCCGGTCTCGAAGTTGGGCGTCTAAATTTAAGTACTATTTATTTAGTAAAATAAATTAATATAAATACTCAATTTCAGTTATAACAAATCATCTTACTTGAAATAGAAATATAATTCTTGCAAAACTAAATATATGTGCAATAGAAAATAATGCTTCACTGAGTAAAGTTGGATCTGTTTCAGGCCATTGATTACGTGGCAATGGTTCTGTTCCATATTGATTAGTTTTGCGTAATATGACCGCAACAACACGAAGTGCAACAGTAGTCAAATAAAGTCCAAGCATTAAGAAATCTAACCAATTCCACCATTGACGAACATAAGCTTTGAGACCTTCTTCCCATATTTGTTTCATTTCACTCCATACAAATCCTTGTAAAAAACAAACAGAAATAAATTACTGTATGATGCTATACTCATGAATAAGGAACAATAGAATAAATGCATAGTATACAAGTTTATAACAAACTAAGTTAGTAATACCATCCCGTTCGACTCAGTTTACATGAACGCTATTCTGTATTTGTTCTTTAGAAAAAAAGTCCACTGTAATTCAAAAGTAAATTAATAGTTACGCTTGGACATCAAAATAATACAAAAAGGCTTTTCCAACTATAGCGAAAGGAGAATAGCTAAAGCTTTTCATATATCGCTTGATTCTACTGCCCTCAAGGGAAAAGAAGGCCTCACTATCTATCCGAATCGCACCATCTATCCGAGTTACCATGTCTGATTAGATTCATATTTCACACCACTAACGTACGTACAAGTTAAATTCTATCTTTCGTACCACGACTGTCTTTTTTTATTCATCACTTACTTACTAACGCCAGTTACTCCTCATAGAGGAGCACAGATCACCCACCAGCATTCTTCAAACAACTCTGTACTGGAAAATCCTTTCCAGTTGCCATTCATTCTTTTTATTTCTGCTTCCAATTCTCGATGCAGTGTGTTCTTTGGCCTTCCTGTTTTCCGTTTCCCTTTGGAAATTCCAAGTACCCATGCAATGGACATTGAGTATCTTGCGTAGTTTACCATGCACACACACAAATATACAAACATGTCTCATATAAATTACCTTGACCGGAATCATATGACATTAACTTGGCCAAACCCATTCTTGATTGATCCCACTTAATATTATTGCTTTGTTCTTTTGTACTATTTAAACTTGGGTTAACTTAATTTGTTTATTTATTTTCTGAAGAAGTGGCTTACACTCAGTTACAAAACGTCTGGAAATTTAAAAACTCAATTTTTCTACTCATTGGCATATTACAAATACATTATTTTTGTTGAAAACCAGTAATGTTTAGAACTTTTTGCTGAAACAAAATCACTAAAAGATGACAAATTGAAATCCATGCTCAAATGAGAACTCAATAAGAAAGTAGACAATAATGTCGTATCTTGTTGTATTTATAAATTTTCATATTTACGAGAGTATATGTATATAAGAAAGAGAAATAATAATGTGTGGTTGATAACTGAATATAAGTTGTTGCAGGAAAAAATATACTTGGGTAGTTCAATACATGTGCATATATAATGGTGCTAATTTTGTATTTGTACCAGCCTAAAATCGACCCCAGTAATATAAAATGGATTCCGCAGTATAAAGTTTACGTTTAACATCAAACTTGTATTCTTTCTTCACTACTTTCTTCGTTTTAATATTCTCCAAAAACGCTAAGAATTAATATTCTTTTTATTAATTTACTTCGACCTACTTATTTCCCTACATATGAATAACATTTTCAGAATGTATTATATCGTAGACGAAATTTCTTGTTTCAATAATATGTCTGAATAAGCGCATATTATGTTACAGAAATACGTGGGATATTAATTTAGTCGACCTGAAAATAAGCAGTAAATTAATACGAAAAAAAATGATTTATTAGTGAATTTTATTACAACTTAATATCAGTCCCAAACTGACTAAACACTAAGTAGATATGTGGCCTGATTTCAGAATCCCTAATTAATATGTATTATGTGACCTTTATCGAAGTCGAAGTATTTCGATTTATCAATAAAGTTAAATGTTTTGTTAATATAAATGCCAGGATTAAGTTTGATTATTCTATCAAAACATAACTTAAGACAGTCACCTTATTCGTAAGATAAACATTTATTAATCATTGAATATTTATTCGCAAATATTGGCGAAGTACCTACATTAAATAGATATCGAGAAGGAAAGAGATCATAAAGCTATAACTATTAAGAATTAAAATCAAACAAACACGTTAAAAATATACTACTGACCAATCAGTGTATGAGTGACTACTATTAGAGCCAGTGATATTTCTCCTAGTTTCTCAATCAACATTGCGACACCAACCAAGAGCTCATCACTTCCAACAAAATAGCATCATCTATTAAGTATATCAAAGAGTCTGTTGCTAAGCAACAGTGAGTGAAACCGACAAGAAAGCATTAACATCATCATTACGGCTGTATAAACTGTACCGTAGCTGCTACCTAGACATGGTGATCTGGCTTCCTTATCGTGATGACTCATCCGAGCTATATTGGCTGGAACACATGTTCCTCTAGGTCCTGCCATGCCACGCAAGTCGGTTGGAGGACAGTAGCAACTTAAGGCCTGAAGGCAAATCCATACTTTTGACTGTAGAGGGTGTGACAACAGCAAAGCGTTTACCTCAGACAACCAGCATCTACAACGATTCTGCCTTGTCACAACGGAAGGGAGGGGTTGGAAAAATTGATCCTAAAAATGCCACACATCACTTTACCTCACGGATTCCTGCCTCCGGAGGCAAGGCTTTTTAAAGTAAGTAACTGGTTAGTCAAAAATATCTCATGAAAAGGTCATGCTCGACCTTCCTTGGGCTTTGCAGTAACGAATCCAAGTCGCTATGACCACCGCTATTACAGATTTTTTAGTTCCGTCAAGAAGAAATATTCCTCTGTGATGTAAATAATCAGGAATTGACAACCACTCTCATACCTCCGTCAGCACCCGAGATCATCTTGTTGATGATCGAATCCCTCCTTCACCCCTTAATTATTCTTATACCCCACGACCAACAATTCTCGTATGTCTCCATCACCACGTTCTACTAGTGCTAATGATTTGAGTTCACAAAATGTTATTCTTAGTCTACTTAAGAGATAGGAAATTCAGTGGCGATAAGTAACAGTAGACAACTGTTCATAATTAAAAGAAAACGAATATTAAAAATCCGGCTTTAGTGGAACTATCTCGGAAACGTACGGGGCCGTTATTCACTATCAATCCAGGAGATTGGGCCGATAGGCTGAACACTTAAGAAAACATTTCAACTGGTCTTCAGACGAACTTTGGTTACCCAATATCTACAAGCAACCTGAATAGCTAACTGATGTAAGTCCTTCAATTCTTATTGAGGTTGAAGAGGCTATAAGTAATTTAAAGCACAGGAGAAAAGCAGAGCCTGATGGACCAACTACTGAGATGGTCCAGGTTTAGAAGTTAGAATGACTGGAATATTAGTTAAAATCTGGGAACTGGACGCAATCCTATCTGAATGATCCCGATCGCTGGTCGTCCAAGTTTACAAGAAAGGACAATCACAGGGCAATCGGTTTAGCTAACATAGTGTGTGAAATATTAGCATCAATAATACTTCGACATCTAACCAGAGCTCATGAAGAGAGAACCCGAGATCCAGGAGATCCACTTGTTAACGTAGAATGCACAGAAGACATAGTTCTGCTTGGCGAATACGCTGACAAAAATGCAGTGTCCTGATCACCTTGAGCAGCAATTCAAGCATGCTTAGGATGTAGTCTTCTTCCTTCAAATGTAAAATGTGACCTTAGTTATGGCCTGCGTCATCGCCTGAGTTAATAATAGGGAGTGAAGTAGTTGAACGCATAGACCGTTTCATTTATCTTGGAAGTCTCATCACTACTGACAGTCTGGTGTCTGACAAAATTTCACCACAGGTTCAGGAGGCTCGATTGACTTTTGTCAAATAGCGTCACTTGTCCGTCTTCCAACCAAAGAACGAATTCATTGAACATCGGTTTGATCCGTTATACTTTACGGATGTGAAACGTGACTATTAAGAATAGAGGATATTCATAGTTTATCGGTATTCGGTCATCGGTGTCTTCGAAGTATTGCTCGTGTATTTCGGGACTAAGGAGTAAGCAATGCCTGGGTTAAGAATAGGGTGCTTGTTAAAGATGGGACATCGATTGATGAATTAGTAAATCTTCACCAACTGAGGTGGTTGGACATGTTATGTATACTCGACCACCACCTAACTCGACGGGCGATGTTCTCTGGTGTAGAAGTAGGCTAGAATAAGGCTAGAGGCGGCATAACCAAAGTATGGCATCAATCCATAAAGACATTCAGAATTGGACTGAGTCATGTTAATAAGCGTTGACTACCCTGGTCGCGTTCTGCATGATTATCGTAAACAATGGTTAGAGACTTTGAATGACATGTCTCAAAATTGTTTCCAATGGCGCATGTACATCCATTCTATGAATTCCCCCGAATTCTGAGATTCTAATTGCACATAATTTTTTCTTGTTTTTATTTCGCTAATTTATATTTTCTTCGCGAGTCATATCTTCCATGCCGAGTATTTCCTATTACCACTGATACTGTCACTACTTTTACCATTCCGGGATTTTACCTAACAATCTCATCTCTCTGTAATAATTGGATATGGAAACGTGAACTGATATACATACCCACAGGCCCTACGTTGTAACAGACTGATGGAGTAGCAGTTGCACAAAAAATTCAAACGTTAAGAAAATATAATTCAATTTATTAAAACTAATTCAGGGCAGTTCTTGCTACTTAAGTTATAACCACATTAGTTGGGTTGTTGGTACTTTTAAGCGCTAGTTGACCTTCAATTGTTTAGGACATTTTTCAACTCTGAATATCTTCAAGACAACTACTGTTACGTAATTATACATTGTGATTTATAATTTAAATAAAATACTATAAGTCTACTTTATATATGAAACTGTGGGACGATAAAACATTATGAAAAATGTTACTACTTTTAAACTAAGTTCATTTAAAACAAGGATTTGATGTTTGTATTCTCAAAACTTACCAATTACCCACCATAATATTAACATTTCAATAACATTTGGATCTGGTCCACGAATTTCACTACGTCTTTGTAAATCTGTTTTTGTTAATGTATCAGTTGATGCAATCAATAGTAGGAATATAAAAATTGCAAATGATGCGCTATGATTAATAAATTTTATCAATGGACTTCGCATCAGCTGGCCAACACATCCATGTGGATGAATTAAATATGTCGGAGCTAATATTGGCAATGCAATTATGAAACAAAAGCAAAGAAATAGTTTTGTAAATGGATGACGTTTACGCCAACCAGGTAATTGATCATACCATAAGGTGGTTAAAAGATGTTGACAATGTGGATGAGCAACGAACTAGTTAGGAAAAAAATAAAAAAAACAGATCAAATACAATTAATACTAATATGTAAGTAAATGTTAAATGCTTTAGTTAATTATTAGTGATTTATGTAATATAATAAGATACTTAATTTGAAAATGTAAAGTTTGAGAACCCCCTTTATGAACATTTTCACGACTGAATCATGTTAAGTACATAATCACAAAAAATTCAGAAATATTATCTGAGAATTTTCCAAGTGTAATATGGTTACTGCCGACAAAACCCACCTTAGATATATACGATACATATACAGCACAAATTACAGTCTGTCAGTCCATATTCATTCACACACCATTCAAAGACTAAGTTCGAATCCAATGGTCTATAATCTTAACTTCACTCAATCCGTAATATAGCACGAATATTACCCACTTTCATCAGCTATTTGTTGGAGTCGCATTTTTAACTTGTACGCTTATAATATCAACAATTTTGAATTTAGAAAAACATCTCTACAGTATAATTGGATTTACAGTAGTTCCTTGGCTGATCTCATTTCTCTGGATTATGTTCTCGGTCACTTTATTCTTTAGAAACTCAGTAAATAACTGAGAAGTCACATTTTCCCCAAAATTTTATGGACAGTCAATACATACAGATATTCATCATCTTATGACAGAATTAATGAATTGCGAAACAGAAAAACTCATCCAATTAGATAAGCTATATGAATTACCAAATTAATTGCTTGTTTATATTTAGTTACCGATAAGAAACATACAATGAATAGGCATTTCGCACTTTCTCATTTTAGATAAGTAAACGTTATTGGTGTAGATTCCCTACTTTATATTAAATACTCGAAATCACTTTATACTTCTAATTTAAACTTGAGCATCTTTACAAATAATGAATAAAATAAATGAGTTAAGATAACGTTGAATATTTATCAAATATTTTTATAATTTTCTTGAGAACTCAACTAACCACCTACACAAAAAAGATTTTTGTGAATATTATAGTAATTTAATAGTTGAATTCATCAGTCAATTGAAGCTAGAACACCATGATGAACCTGGAAGCACTGGACAGCTGTTTCATCCTAGTATGAGACTCCTCAGAAATTCGCTTCCGCGATCCTGTACGTGGAACGCTCAACCTCTAGATCACTGAGACTGCCGGCATCCCACAATGTTAATGTTTAACCAATCCATGATACTGCGCCACCGTCCACCATTATCTCCAGTAAATAACAGACTCGGTTGAACTCCAGTGGTCATGGCTTCTTGCTAGAACTCCAGGAAATAATTCATGAAGCCAGTCTCATGCTGGAATGAAAAGGCTGTTCAGTGCTTCCGGATTTTCCATAGTGGTCTAACTTTAGTCGACTCATGAATTCAACTATTAAAAACTACTACAATCTCCACAAAACCCCATTCTGATAAAAAAATGCTTTTAAAAGTTAATTAAATTATTCAAAATCTAAAGTACTTCTGATTGTTCTTTTTAAAAAAAAGAAAAAAGAAAATTCATTATAAAAACTCCACATTAAATATGCTTACAAATTCCAAATAAATATATTTATAAATGATAAGTAGTGATTAAGTCATCAAATAAATCTGTTGTAGAGTAGTTGCTTCTTCTTGTGATGGTCGGTATTCAATACAGTTCTTTAACTTCGTTTACAGTTCGTCCTGATAACCGTCACTAGATAACGCCCCAACGGTGTATTAATCAGAAGGCGAATACGAAGTGTTGATCACGTTTATTATTGTACCACACATAGATAACCAAAATTACTGGTACACTAAGCAAGCATGAAAGAGTTGTGTCGAAAAGCTAACAGGTAAGTGAGTGAATACGCTAGTCAAATAAACAAGTCGGCGAGTCAATGAACAGGATTAAAATGTACATATATATACATAGTGAAATGAGTGAATCATCGAATCAAGTTAGCGATTAATTGTAAGGCTACCAGAGTGAGTATATGAGTGGGCAATAAACAATGCTCAAGCATACATACAAGTGTAACAAGAATAAAGATACATTGATATAGATAAGTTGTTATTATACGGATGACTATATCCATTAAATAAATTAACAAAAGAGCTTAACCAAATTAAATATGAACAAACTCAGTTGCACGTGAGCTGCTATAATAACTCTCCCCCCAATCAGCAAACAAAGGTACAGATTTTATGGACTACCAAAGATCCACAAGAATAATACTCCACTAAGACCAGTAGTAGACTATACAAATTCACCGACTTACAATCTAGCTAAATATTTAGCTAAGATTCTCAAACCATATGAAAAAAGGATTAATCATGGAATTAAAAATTCTATGGAATTCAAGAATTTAATTGATACCATCGATATAGAAGAAGACGAAATAATGGCAAGTTTTGATGTATCTTCCTTATTCACTAATGTACCTATCAATCGAGCTATGGATATTATCAATGTTTGTTTAGAATCTGATTTAAATTTGAATTTACGATGCTCATTAGATCCATTAGAGGTTATAAAATGCTTAGAATTATGTTTAAGATCTACCTTATTCATATTTCGAGGTCAACTTTACAGACAGAAAGAGGGTATAGCAATGGGCTCACCAGTTTCTCCGATTGTAGCGAATTTATTCATGCATTCCCTAGAAACTAGTGCAATCGCAAAACGTTTATGTCCACCAAAGCTATGATTAAGGTATGTAGACGATATTTTTATTATCAATAAACGGGATGGTATGGAAGAACTATTTAACAATGTAAACAGCATTTCTGAAAACATTAAACTAACGAAGGAATTAGAATCAGTTGACCACAAACTAGCATTTCTAGATTGTTTGGTTGAACATCGACACAATAATAAGAAGTTAACAATAAATGTTTACAGAAAATCAACACATTCCGAGAGATACTTGGATTTTAATTCAGCCCATTCACAGAGCACGAAAATTAATGTGGTAAAAAATCTAATGAACAGAAGTACTAAGGTTGTTACAGACAAGGAAGACCAACGAACCGAATTAAATAAAGTATTTTCTACTCTTAGGGATAACAACTACCCAAAAAGGTCTTTGAAGAAGATTATTAAAAATGAAAGAAAAACTAAACTAGAAAGTATACGAAAAGAATGGAAGTATACCGTAGTCATACCTTACCGTAGCGAAACATCAGAAGAAATCAAACGGATTCTAAACAAACATGATATAAGAGTGTATTTTAGAGCGAATAACACATTAAGATCGACATTAGTGAAAGTTAAGGACAAGTTAGCAAAGGAAGAACAACAGAACATTGTGTATGAGATTCACTGTCATGACTATAATGCTACCTATGTTAGAGAAACATCCAGGCAATTGAATGTAAGATTGAAGGAACACAAACAATGCTTGAAAAATGCTCCAAAATCCTCGGTCGATTTAAAGAAACTTGAAAATAAGTCAGCGATAGCGTTACATGCGTTAGAAACAGGACACAAGATTAATTTTGAAGGGACCAAAATACTTCAGAAAGGTTTTAACACCCATAAAGAAAGACTGACAGCAGAAGCGCTGCATATATGGGCGAACAAGAACAGCCTGAACCGAAAAGATGGTATTCAACTGGCAACTGCCTGGCAAATTTCGTTAGGCAAGTTAATTTGGAACCTATCTCTTGTTTAAACCTGTTTTTTAATATCACATGCATCGTTATTATTTTTGAAAGAATTCAATGAGTTTTTAAACAATACAATTTATGTTTTGACATGTACATAGATGTTTCATTATCAATTTTTCATCCTTGAACTTTATTTATTCCTTCATATCAATCTCTCACACATACATACATACCTACACACTCACACACATACGATTTGTTACTCAGTTAAGTATTTCCATGTAGTTGATTTCTTCACATGATTTCTAGTTAACTGACCCATTTTATCTTATTTTACAAAAAATCATCATCCAAATATGATTGGTTTAACACAGTATAATCCTGTCCGTTAAAAAGCTAAATATTTCTTTGATAATTTTGATTTTGATTATTACCCTGAAGAAGTCCAGACAAGTTAGCTGGACGAAACGTTGGAATTAGTTATATTTCAATCGCTGAGAATATTTCAAATATAATTTTCACATATAATGACTCTCTCTATACTCGGCGCTCAATTACTGTCAAATTATTCGTTCTAATCTTGACGAATATTTGTATAATGAATAAAACAGTTTACCCAAAAGTTAAAACAACTTATATAAGCTTAACATAGTAACAGACATCATATTCCTTATTATTTCAAAATTTATTACAATAAACACCTAAAATACCAGTTTTTATTTCAATCATCAATCAAGTCCATACATCATATTAACTTTATTATAGATAATAAATGAGAAAAAAACTGTATATAATTGAATGGATTCAAAGAAATTTAAGATTATTATTATTATTATGTTCAGTAGTATATAAAGGTCAAATAGAAAATAAATCAATTAATGATTTATTCATTATTCACGCAATATTTAATGATTATTAATTTCAATCATAAGGTCATTGAATAAATTGTAATGAAACTTGATCAAAGTAATTCATTCTAGTTTAAAGCAATTCTTATTAATTAAAACAAAAATAAAATCAAACCCCTTTCAAAATGTAGCGTGAAATATTAAATATACGTATATATATATTCGTCTCTTTATTATTACATTATGTTGATAAGAATATAATCAACAGTAATATTAAGTTAATTATATGACACAATTTAATGAACTATAATATAAGTTATTTAATTATATAGATTTAATTATTAATTATATTTCACAGATTGAAATCAGGAGTCAATTGAAGCTAGACCACTATGGAAAACCTAGAAGCACTGGACGGCCGTTTCGTCCTGTCGTGGGACGCCTCAGCAGCGCGCATCCACGATCCTACACCCAGCGAGATTTGAACCCAAGACCTATCAGTCTCTCACCAGGCGCTTAACCAACTAGACCACTGAGCCGGCATCCAATGGTGTTGATGTCTAACTCCAACCAATCCACAAAGTTGCGCCACCGTATACCATTGTCTTCAGTGAGCTGATATCTCACAACAGATCTGGTTGAACTCTACTGGTAACGGCTTCTCACTAGAACTCCAGGAGTATCTCTTGAAGTCAGTCACTAGTGAGCAGATGATTATTATCAGAAGGGGCTTGTGAAGATATTAGAAAATTCATTAGTTGAAATCGAGTCAATTGACCCCTTCTGATAATAATTATATACTAATTAATTGGATCAATATGGGTTGATTTTGCTTATACTTCAATATGATGATCCAATAAGTAATCATATGATTTCAAACTATTTTACTTTAATCTAATCAATTGTCATAATTCATAGAATAAATAAATTTGAACAGTCAAGATTAATTTATAATTGTTTCCTAGTGTGAATATTAAGATTTTAAACTGAAAATTATTCAAAAGATAGAACAAACTAATTCTTTTTGAGTTTTTTTTTCTGAATTCGAATCACAAAGTGGATATGCATTTTGAGATACAAGTACATTCAGCTGACGAGTTCTAAATAGGACGAAACATATGACCAGGATTTTATTGCTAGCCACTATCCATCTTTGCTTAGAATGACAAAATATTTATTTTAATATAACTATAAACATTATCATAAGTAGGGAAATATTTCCAATGTATACAGAAGACTATTTTAAGATAAAAGGTATACAAACAATTGTACTTTTATCCAAATATTGAGCATGCTACATATTCTTAGAAAATAACTTAATTTTAATGAAGTAAAAGGTTTATCCCTAGTGTTAGAAATACAATCAAAGTTGTTAAACAAACTCTAAAACAGTCTAACAGAACAGATATTAACATAAGTTTATTGGGGAAAAAACACTTAAAGTTCCTTAGTCTACTGACGAAACGGCATTATTGAAGTTTCGTTTGTAAGGTTACAACTAGAGAACTTTGAAAGTAAAGACAAATTTACTAAACCTACTGAGAATTTTATTTCATAGTTTAATGGGTTGAATATAATGAATAAATAAGTAAGTGAAATTGTTAAGTTCGCTACTTGATTAACGCAGAATACGGTATACAACTATGGCACTCAAACGTATAGAAACCCTACAGTCACAAATCAAAAGACAAAGGACTGAAGAAGTGCTTGTTGGTTAAAAATCAAAATGTACAGAAAGTCATGGGTATTTATAGATATTAGCGTTTGTTATATCAACAATATATTTCAGACAATCCGCAAAGAGGCATGTTATGTTACTGTTCAATAGTAGCATGCTACGTTGATATTCTAGAAAGCTCCATCATGTTCTGGTTGGCTCCTTTAGGGCCTATGGAGGCTCCGTCGTAATTGTCGGAAGCCGTCCCAACAGAAATGCAGTCAAAAAATTGTTTCACAGTATGACTCAATCACTGACAATTACTGACGAATATTCAATGAAGTATCGAAAAAGAAAAATAGTATTTTTTTTACTTGAAAATGACTGAAACATTTGTTTAAATTAATTATACAACGGTAGTCTTGGCCAAGTAACTGATTTTTGTTCACATAAATAGTTAACTTGTAAAATAAATTATATATTATGCAAACGTAAACATGAATAGGAGTAATTTATAGTACGCTCAATTGTAAAAGAGATTCCTCTGAGTTAAAACACTGACTAGCATCTCTGTTTAAAACAAAACAATCTGAAGCGATGACAGTTACATTTAATTACTGCCTCACTCTAAATGTGTTTTTGAAGTTCAATTCCAAATGACATCGAATATGCTCATACACAAACATATATATAGTCATTATCTTTGTTACTCTAATTTCTTCATCAATGCCGATCGCTTCATACTATGTTGCACTTTATTACATATATAATTCCAAGCAGTTGATGAAAAACCATGAATCAAAATGAATTCATACTATTCTGCCTCAATTGTTGTTTTGGTTTTATTCGAATTCGCAAAGGGGACCAAGTGAGTGGAAATCATAGATTTCTTGATATGTTTTGTTAATTTGAATGCTTACTTGTTATATCTGTTTAAATATAAAGCATTAAAAAAGAAAAATTTTCTAAATGCATATACTTTATTCTGAAGTCACAATTATTATATATCTGGCGAAACTGCATATTTATCGAGAATATTGCATGCAGACGTATATTGGAGGATTGGCAAAGTAAGGACAGTATTCCTACAGTTGAAGAACATGTGGAATTCAAAACAGCTGTGTGAAAGCTAACATCAAATTCACGATCTTCAATACGAAAGTCATTACAGCTCTTCTATACAGAGCTGAGACGTGGAGCACTATTACAACCATCATCAAAAGGTACAAGTATTTATAAATAATCATCTATGCAAAATATTGAATGTCTGTCGACCGGATACAATCAGCAAAGTCCTACTGTGTGAGAGATCAAAACAGCTTTCAGAAACTGGTAAAAATGTTAGAAGTCGATGAGACATAAATTTCGGAAGTCATCATACTGCATCATGATACAACCTTCAACTTGGAATCCTGAATGGAAATGAAAATATGAGAAAGGCCAAATAACACTGTGTCGACAATTGACAGCTGACATAAGGAGGATAAATAGCAACTGAAACAAGTGGAAAGAATTATCCACGACAGAGTTGGATGAAGAACTCTGATGAGCGGCCTATGATTCTCCACGAGGGTTAAATGGAATGACTTCGTAAGTAAAATCATTTTTCGTCATTTACAATCAGACTGTAGTATGTACCAAAGATACTTTGCAAAACTGATATATGTGTTTTCTTCTTTATTCGTTTGCACTATTTTCTTAGATGAAAGCTTTCTGTATTCATCAATTAATTTACTTTTAAAATCCTTCAGTTTCCAGTCTGAACTACTTTCACAATTAGTTTTTGTAAAGGTAAATTTAAACACTTTTATAGTGCTTTGTCACGGGCATTTTTAGTTTGTTTATAGTCTTCAAACAGAATAAAGAAAAGATTAGTTTTGACATTTGAAGTTAACTTCCTTTATACACATTATATATATATATATATATATATATATATATATATATATATATATATACAACATTTATCGCTTTTACATATATGTGAAATCCATTGAGACTTTAAGGTTAATTAATCCCTATTGTTGAATCTTCCCTTCCTTATTTATAAAAAATTTACAAAAAACTTATTCCAGGGTTAATCAACCTACTTTCTTGATTATAATATTGCGTTTATCCATCAGGTATCTCAGTTTAAACTTGAAAAATAGATGAGCTTTTAGAAAAAAAATTTATAGAAATATATAATGAATACAACAAGGGATTAGTATATGGCATAAGGTTTTAAAGATGGTTAATCTAAAGTGTAGGGTTTATTATTTTACAATAGCTGAGAATAAGCGAATATGTTACAAGTGCTAACTATGTAAATAAAATGAAAATTTGCCAGTTAACACAACACAGTTTATTTTTTGTTGTTGTTCTAACAATCTTACCTTAACCATTGTGTCAGCATTTTTCAAAAGTCTGATATTCCACATGATAGTGTCGAGTTTCTGTAGACTTTTCATTTGATATATTACGCTGATATATTAGATAATCCTGATAACCTTAGTTTTCACATCGGATTATTGAAATTTATCAAAGGGACTAATGGTTATAAACAGTGATTAGATTCCGATCCTTTTGTACTGAATATTCAAGAGATTTATTAAGATTATAGATGTAAAGAAAATATTCATCGGTTATTGGGCTTTACGTTTCAGTTCTTTTATATTCCATATAACATTCTTTAGGACACAAGAAACGGAGTTTTGAATACTGTAATAGCTGGATTATGATGATTGTCTCAATAATGAACAAAAGTTATGAATTTTAATAAGTGTTTACTTGTTGTCTGTTCTTTAAAATTATTTTTACTGCTACCGAAGTAATGGAATCTTAAAAAAGGTAAACATCTATAACACCAATTTAAAAATGTAATAGAATATCTATGTTCTTTTAGCATCGTCTTACAAAGCACAAAGGATATAGTAAGTTTAACTATTAGTACGACAAGTGCTAACTTTCTAAAACTTTGTCCAGAACAATGTAAGTTTGAATTTTTCACAAAATATCAGTAATTATTCGTCAAATCACAACAGCGCCTCATTTATTCTATTAAAAAGCTTTCATTTCGATCAATGTCTTTGAAGAAACTCTTAAAATGTCACAATAAGTACGCCTACATTTTTTACTTGTTTGAATGTTCAACGGATAGACTTTTAATAATATATAAGTTTAGTTATGAACTTCACACAGATCACTTCAAAAGACTGGATTAGAACTGTAAATTAGTCATGATTAATGTAATAAATTGCTTGAATTAAAATCTTTAAAAACGGATTATTCGTTGGGAAGATTTAAAATGGTGCAATTGTAATCGAACAATACACGGACTGGCATAATACTAAATGAATATAAAAAAGTACATAATTTTCTACTATGCATAGTGAATATACCACTCTATCAATATATGTATTTCATGATCTTTCTGACGTGAAATGGAAGTCGTTTTCGGTCACAGAAAAGTTTTTCTTAACCATCGTGTTGCGAAAAGACTGAAACATAACTTGAAAATACCATTTTCTTTAATGAGTTATGATATATTAACTGATTGGTTCGTTTACTTAAACTGTCATTGGAAACATTGGTTAGATTCTATACACATCAATAATTAAGAACAAGATATTGTGACGACAAGCTTAAAAATTAAGAGATCAATTGGGATTACCTTAACTGTAGCATTGATTTGATTTGCTATTATAGAATATAATACAAACCATTCAACAGTAGCAAATTCCATTTAAATGGGAATCATTGAAAATATGTAACCCATAATTGAGTAAAATATGCAGTCCTTACATAAAAATTTCTACTCATTGGCATATTCCAAAACTAGTTATTTTACTATTGTAAATATTAATTTATCCAAAACAGCCATCTTCAACTACATATATAATAATTCAGTTCTAGTAACTTTGTTATGTGAATTCACTTGTCCATCAAAATGACACTTTACTGACAATTACCGTGTGCTCACTAGTGACTAGCTTCGTGAGGGAATTCTCGGTGTTCTAGTGATAAGCAGTGACCAGTGGAGCTCATCCATGTCAGGTAGAGACAGGTATTTACCTCAGTACAATGGAAGATGACCGCGCGATTTCGTGGATTGGTTGAGGTTAGACATTAGCATCGTTGGGTGCTGGCCAGCTCAGTGGTCCAGTAGATTTGGCATCCTCACGCGAGACTGAAGGTTCTGGGTTCGAATGCAACGTTTGGGATCATGGGTGCGCACTGCTGAGGAGTCCCACAATAGGATGAAAAGGCCGTTCAGTGCTTCCAGGTTTTCAATGATTCTCTAACATCAGTCGATTCATGATCTCAATCAAAAAAATGAACGGGTAGTAAACTAACAAATACAACAAAATTGTTCTGTATTATCCCGAAAAAAAATACACAACTTAATTAGTCAATGATTCTTCAACACCAGCAAATAAGCATTGAATAAACTATCATAAACAGATCGATTTAGAATCCTGTAAACCGAAGAAACAACTAAACAATACATAGGACTGGTTAATCATGTAATTGTAGCGTTATTTAAAATAAATAAATGTTCTACTACATTTACTAGGTGATCTTGTATTTTGATTTAACCCTTAAAATCTTTTGTTTTTGAAATTAAAAAAGACAAATAAAATAAAATTTACATGATCCACTACTACTGCTATCTAGAAAAGATGCTACTACTACTACTACTGGTGAAATTTTTTTATCTCTTTTTCAAAATCATATATCGTCAAACCCTTGATATGCCATTATTTTGTTGGAGGTTTTAGTAATTTCATAGATTCACCGTGAATAATAATTTGTAAATCGGTTGGTTGAATTTAGACATTAGCAGCTTTAGATGCCAACTCAGTGGTCTAGAAATTAAGCGCTCCCGCACAAAACCGATAGGGCCTGTGGTCGAATCTCACAATGCGGGATCGTAGATAAGCACTGCTGAGAAGTTCCATACTAGGAAGCAATGACCATCCAATGCTTCAAGGTTTTCCATGGTGATTTAGCTTCAATTGACTCATCAATTCAACTAGAAAATTTCATTATTTCTTATTTCCGAAAAGTAATTTTGCATCATTTTCGATAGGAAATATATTCAAATTTAACCGATTATTCTACAACTAGTACATTAGTTAATCTACAAACGTGTACTCAACCGTGTCACATCAGCCTTATCATTATTATTATTATCATCATGATTATCATATACAGATAATTTCGTAATCGTAAATAGGATTCCATATATATATATATATATATAATTACTCATTCCCTAAATAAACGACCTGCTAATTATTCCATTTTATTGTTAATTTCATATGAATTATCATATACATTATAATATTCATAGATTTATCGGTAAAGTAATTTCAGCTTAACCATTAATGTTATTTAGTATATTACAATGTAAAATGAAAGCACTGAATGTTTAATTCAGTAGGATTAGGAAAAAAACAGAGAAAAATATTGTAAAGAATAAAAAGAAAAAAAGTACATATATCCTTTCTTTTTTTTCTGAGGTTCTAAACTGAAAAAATAACAAACAAAGTGAGCAAGAGAGAGAAGGAGGTAAGGAGGGAGAAATAAGTGTTTTAAAATGTTAATTAGTTTCTTTACGGAAAGAAAAAGATAAAATTATTTATTTATATTCAGAACGAATAAATTTCTGAAGCTTTTGTTGTTGCTGTTGTTGTTTTTTTAAAAAAAAGAAATATATTATTCAGTAAACTAACGTGACTAACCTCGAATTTGAGTAATATTTAAGTAGTAATTAAGAAATTGAAGGAAAATAACATTAAGGATTTTAATGTTATGAAAATTGATCTTGTATTAAAAATTTCACTGATTGAAATCATGGGTCAGTCGTGAGATATCAGCTTACTGAAGACAATAGTGTACGGTGGCGCGATATCTTGGATTAGTTGAAGTTACACATTAACACTGTTGTATACCGGTTCAGTGGTCTAGTCTTTAAGTGCTCGCGGGCGAGACTGATATGTCCTGGGTTCGAAATTCGTGGTAGGCGGTATCGTGGATGTTCACTGTTGAGGACTGAGAAGTCCCATACTAGGACGAAACGGCCGTCCAGTTCTTCCAGGTTTTCCATGATGGTCTAGCTTCAAGTGACCCATGATTTCAACTAGTGAAATTTCTAAAATCTCCACAAAACCCCTTCTGATATTAAAATATTGTCACAATAATAGAGAATTATATTAGTGATAAACCTGTAAGAATAATGTAACCGAATAGTGTTTTATCACTAAGCTTTAGAGTAATTGTTGAATGTTGATTGTTGTTATTCTTCAGATGGTTTTTATAAAAAATAGGTAAGAAATTTTGTTATATTTTGTTTTTAAAAAAACTAGAGTGTTCGCATCAACTAAAGTATCACTCAAGAACAGAAGCATAATTCAATAATAAAAAAAGATTCTTATTGTATATTAAATGAATGTTAACATTGCTAATGAATATAAATCTTCAATATAACTTTCAATCAAACTCTTTGATGTAAATAATTTAAATGCGTTATGTAATTATGATTTTAAATATTATAAAATGTAAACAGCTGAAGAGAATCAAACGAAATAAAATGAATTCATGCTATTCTGCTAAAATCTTTGTTCTTGGACTTTTCAAAATGATAGAGGGAACTATGTGTATGATAATTTTGATAATTATGTTTCAGGATGCCTTAGATACTATTTCTGGTTGATTGTTACTTGAACTCAACAGAAAAAAAAACATTTAATAAAGATGAGCTTTCCTTTTTCCAAACAAGGAAAAATACTGTATCTAACCACAGAATGAAATGACTAATGTTTTATCTACTATGTTTAATTGTTGTTTTTTTTGTATGTAAAACGAAACTTATCATTATTTCAATATGTCTTTGGTAACTAAAACGTGAGGAGTGTACTCTACTGTAGAAACTTCATTTAAAAATTTGAACCGTGTTAGTTTTATTGTTCAATTGACAGGTCTTAAAGATGAAGAAGTTAAATTGTAGTAAATAATAGAAATTCTATTACAAAATGTATATTAACAGATTTTAATGACAAACATTAAGGCGAAAATTATATAACCTGAATCATGCAGTTTGAACCATGTATCATCGGTTAAATATTGTAGTATCCTGTTCCATTCTGTTTATGACAATCTCATCTCGGAAAGACTTTAATTTAACTTACAGAATTTTAATAAGTCTATATGTTTATTGGTGCTAACATAAAACACGTATGATAAGTTATAAAAGCCTATTGCTGAGTTGAAATCCTTAGTGAATTAATCTCTACCTTTAACAATATTTGAAGGTTACTGATAGATTCGAACATAATACTCTATTTCCAGCATTTATGATTTTAGCATTGGCATAAGATATCAATTGAAGTTTAAGTTTAAGAGTTATTCGCCTACGAGTTCTAATGAAAGACAAAGAACAATATCAAATGTAATAACTTATACTAATATAAGTTATTTTACAACAGACCTTTGTTTACAGCATAAATGATTCTGTGATGTAAGTTTACTTTATAAATACAGTTACAGTGAAGTAATGATCAATAAATATATATATCAACATATACACGTTAACGAAATAATATCCCAACCATTTGCGTTGTTTCAAAGTAAAATAAAATGGTAGGTACCTGTTAGTGAGAAATGACCATAGCTTTTTGATCATGTTACTTAACTACTTAATTGATTACTTACGAACGTTACTCTCGATGGAGCATAGGCCGCAGAACAGCATTCTACAACACACTCTGTCATCGGCCTTCCCTTCCAGTTCTAACCAGTTCTTGCTCATTCTCCTCATATCTGTCTCCATTTCTCGACGTAATGTGTTTTTGGTCTCCCTCTCCTCCGTTGACCTCGAGGATTCCATGAGAGGGCATGCCTTGTGATGCAGTTCGGTGCTTTCCACAATCTGTGTCCTATCCACTCTCGGCGCTTCTTCCTGATTTCTCCGTCCGCTGCAATCTGGTTTGTTTTCTCCTACAGTAGATTGTTGTTGATAGTATCTGGTCAACGAATCCGAAGTATTTTGCATAGACAACTATTATTAAACACCTGTATCTTCTGGATGATGGTTGTGGCAGTTCTCCAGGTCTCCACCCCATACGATATAACTGTCTTGACATTTGTATTGAGAATCCTGACCTTTTTGTTGGTTGACAGACAGTTGTTTTGAGTTGCAGCTGTTCTTTAATTGTAAATATGCTGCTCTTGCTTTACCGATCCGCGCCTTCACATCTGTATCAGATTCACCGTGTTCATCAATGATGCTGCCCAGTTTTACTTAACTAACACTTTCATTATGTAACTAGTAAGCTGAATTTTAATTTATATCTATCCTATGTAATTATTTGCCTGTTTACTGTATAGAACTAAGACAATTATACACTACTGTAAGTCATAAAATGGTAGAATTTAAAATCAACGTCTGAGTTGACGAAAGTGAAAAAAAGTTGAATTTTTATCAAATTTTTAATTTATTTGAATCAATATTCATTTACCTGACAAATAAGTGAAATATTAATTAAATTTTGTCAATGATTTGGTTCCATCAATTTAATGTTCTTTGTTATCCATATGGAATCAAATCATTAGTTAACTCGAATCAAGATTGTATTCCTACATTGTTTGATTTCATTATGTTTCTTTTAAAGCCTGAGGGATGCTAGAAGAGATTGGGAAACCAAATCAAGCGTTCAGTAAAAGATTTATCAGTAACGACGG